AGGGTTTTTTTTTTTTTTTTTTTAACAAACATCTATCGTTCTTCCGGCAATTTGATCCTCATGAGCTTTTTTGGTTTTGCTGCTTTATCACAATTACCCTCGCTTTACGATTCCTAAACGACAAACCTCCTAAAGTAATGTTTTTGGTTCATTTACTGGTCGTACATCTATTGCGAGCTATTTTGCCCGTTGGAGAAATATATGCTCTGTTCACCAAGTGTCTGTCTTCAGTAAATTGAAATTACGGGCGGCAGTAGTGGCACGACAAAAAAAAATTGAAAACATAAGGTATGTTAAATTTTGATACCATCTCTGGATGTTTGTTACACGGTTCCTCGTAACATTCGTCAAAACTTTACCTTACTCATTTGACGCCACGTTGTAAAGCTTCTGTGAGGACTCAGTAACGGATCTTTCCCAAACTGTTACAAGGATAACCTGCACAGAATCAAAGTTTGATAGAATATGATAATTTTGAAAAGGGTGAACGACAAATCGATGCTTTATTTATATAGTGAAAATTATCTGTCACGTTTTTGTCAGTTTTGAACAGCATGAAATTTCAGGAAACTTCCCTGAGTGAAGATATTGCAAGCCGGCTACAAATATGACTAAAAAAAACTGCTTTCACCAAGGAGAATACAAAATTTGACCACTTTTTTTGTCAAAAGTAGAGCAGCGGAAAAAAAGCTCTCCAATTACATATTTCTTTTTCGAGACGTGTCAATCCATATGCAAACTTCATAATGACTAAATGAATGATGGCAGATCCGAACCTCGTCTTCTGTAGAATTTCGAGGACTTTGCCAAGTTCCCTTTTAATTTCCAATTACTATGAGAAAACTGGAACTGAATGGACACAAAAGGGAACACAATTGCGTGACAAATGTGAAGCAGGAACAGGACCTATTAGCAATCATACACAAGGATTAAAGAAACAACTTTTAACAGCGAAAATTTACCAAAATCCATCGTTGATTCAGCAAATGAAAAACTAAGAAATATCAGTGTCATAATCTAAAACGACTTAAAACTTCGTTTTTTTTCCTTTTCAGCCCAGTCCACTTCAATTATCACTCTTTGTAAAAAGCTTTCGTAATGGATCCCTCTTCAAGAGGGCAGATGAAAATGGAAAGTACTGCATACTAAACAAAACGGAAAATGTTTCCCAGCACCAAAATAACGATCAGTTTATGAATAATTGCCTTAAAATTTTTTTGAAAAATATATCAACATTTGTGCGGCTCATAGTTTTTATGTACTATCTGGTATTAAACATCGTCTTTTCCTCGACGAAGACGACGCCATGAAATATATAGTTCTCTCTCTTTTTCAATTTTGGAGAACGATCTGCTTAAAATCTTAACAAATTAGTTTGAAATTTTCAATTCACTGTCTCGCCAGTCTATTTTTTCTGTTTGACCAACCTCATTTTAAATTTTTTTTCTTGGTGAGGACTCGATAGTATGTAAATGGTTTATACTTTGCAAATGATAAGATGTACAATTCCGAAAAGCTCTTAAATGAAAGTGTGTCAAATTCAACCGGCCTTCTTTGATACATGATCCATGACATTTTTCGCGTTGAGGCTTTTCCTTCACGATGATGTAACATGTGCATTTATGAGTAACGCCTACGCCGTCAACACAGAAGCTTTATCCTAAAATAATTGGGAGAAATATCAACAATAAGAATGAGGACACATCTAAAAAAGCCGCAAGAATAACCTGGATATCCAGTATTGCAGAGGTCATGCTGACTTTGCTAAAAACAAAAAGACAACGAAAATTCTGGGGTTCCTACCGCTTCGTTTTCTTCTAAAGACTAAAGGATTCAAAATACCAGAAGAAAAAAAAAACAGACTGGCTGACAGGCAGAGTCTTTTAAAAACCATGCCTTTCGGTCACTGGGATTCAAGATTTATGGCCACTAAATGAGATAGAAATGTTGGTGGATTTTGTTGTTCCCTTTCATTCTCCCAAATATTTCAATTATAATTGGTATGTCCTTCTACGCTCTCAAAGAAAACTGTTGTGTTTATGTCATCTGCATTTATAAGCTTAGTCACTTCCTTGTTTTTGCCGGCAGTCATAACCTAAAATTTCAACTGAAAAACTAGAATAACTAACAACATGATTGCAAATTAGTTTCTCTTCTAATATGGTCAAAATCCTTGTCGCGAAATGCGATCGTGTTCCTGTTATTTGAATTGTTCGAGCCATATTCATAAAACATTGCAGCCATAAATAGAACATTGCAGCAATACACATGCTTGACGCAAAAAGCAAGAAAATCAAACGTCAGACAAAGGAGATGTCTGTTTTAATTTATTCAATTAAGCGCGGGTTACTCTTGCCTCAGTGAAAACAAAGACTAATTCCAATATTTATTGTGCGAATGATGTTGTGTTAAATCGCTTTAGGGTCAAATATTACACCGGCGCCTCTCACATCTATTCTTTGTACCTTATTTTACAGCCGCTGTAGCCACACTGTTAGTTTTTTTGACGGGCACTAGGTTATTACAGCTGACGGGAAAACCGTATTTTGACTTAACAGTGTGCGGCTCACAGAAAAATCGTCCTTCTAAGTTTAAATGAAACCGTCCTTACGGAGGCTATTACCTGAAGGCATCAATTTTTTAGCTAAGATCAAATAAAGCTAAGTAAGAACTTCTGATCTTCAGAGAATTATGCAATGTAAAGTTTCACTTGTAAGCTAAGTGGAGGCCTTGATACTCGCTCGACAAGAACGTTTTAATAAGATGTCCGCCGAAAATTAATCTGGTTTTTGACCGCGAATTGCGTTCGCGGTTGTTCTTGCTTTCTTCAAAAAGAAAAAATGGCTGCAAGTCGTTATGTATTACATTTAGAATTCAACATGTTTAAGTATAGAACCGTAAGACCGAAAACGTTTTCTTAGTAACTGAGATTGTTGTAAATGTTGCTGAAGGCTAACCTTTGGTGCGTTAGCAGTTTGGAAATAATCGGTGAGCAGCTTGCGAAGGGAGAAAACAAAAATTTTAAAAAGTTGTCGACAGATAAACATGACTGTAAGGAAAGTAAAATTTTAAAATTCAGTCTACTGACTTTACTTACGATTAACAGCTGCCAGTGTTCCTCTACCTAATCTGCTGACATCTTTTAATCTCGCGGTTCATGTGTGCGGATAGATCATCACTCTTTCAAACGTCTCCCAAACTCAGCTAATGAGACAAATTCTTCGACAATTAAGTGAAGCAAGCATGAAATGGGCGTCTTTATAACGAAGAGTACATGCAAATGAGTAGGTACCTCTCGCTTGACCACATCCATCGTTTTAATATTAGTTTTAATTATTTACAAGTAACCATTCTAAAAAGGAAGGCGCCTTTGTTTGCATTTCCGATATATGTTTTCCTTGTTAAATTCCAAATGTGTTTGACGACTTCCCTCATATTACACCTTCACCCTGTGAAGATTTCAATTTCTATAACATTTTCAATAACATTTCCGGTTTGAAATTCAATTCAAAATTCTTCTAAATATCATTCTTCGATCGTAATTTTATAGATTTCAAGAATATTATCCAGTTGTAGGGGTTATTATAACCTGAACGATCTTTAGATACTCCGATTTAGTTTTTTTTTTTTGAGTCACAACAGCTCTATGGATTGCACGAAATGCCGAAATTTACATTAGGTTTTGATTAGCATGTCAGGTGCGGAAGAAAAGATGGGGACACGAAGGCTGGTGAAAGAATGACACAAAAAACTGATTAAACTTTGGCAGGCAATAAGTACACTAATCTACCATCAAATTATCAAGGAACGTATTCTGTAGCCAAATCTATGGTTTTATTTTTTTTATGCAATAAAAAATTCATCATTTGTTTTCACTTTATTAAATATTGATTTTAAACATTGAGGTAAACCACCCAAAGATTTTGACATTGAAGCAAGTTGAAATCTAGACCGAAAGGTGCCAATTATTTTGTCAGCTGTCGTCTTCTAGGGGAGCACAATCTTCGCAGTCTTACAAAATTAATTCACAGGGTTCATACCGAACTGATTCGCTCCTTTTCCTTGACGTGGAAGAAAGCACAGACCTCTAAACTTAATTGCGCTTTCTCACAATACTAGCAGTTAGAGGAGCTGAACATCGCGAACTGAAATAAAAAAAAAATTCTTCTCCATGGCTAAGGGCAACCACGCAATAATTAAAAGTCAAAGTATTATTAGCACTTCGCGTTATTTTCCCGGAAGCTTCGCCAAATGATGTTCATCAAATTTATTCGCACCGACTAACATCTTAAAAATAAAATGATTGTTGCTGGAAGACTGTGAAACAAGTGAGACGACAAGTAACTCTTAGCCTTTCCTCTTTCCTTTTCAATTATTTTTTTGTGAGTGCCCGTAGTCAGGTATTGAATTCTCTAATTTAACTTTTCTCGTCCTCCATCTATGCCCCTAATCATTCAGCGTTTCTAGTTTCACAGCTGGGCTTTCTCTCCTCGATGTCTCCACGCTGCACCTTGGCTATATTCAAATAATTATCTCCTGTTACCTAGGATATGAAGGAGGACCGAAGCATGTCCTCAGGAACTTATCCAAATTTGAAGAACTTCCGGCAATTCTGTAAAAGCCAAGCAAGAGAAAAAAACTCAAGCCAGCTCTCAAGTTACTTTCAAATTATCGACTTTCGATGCAAATATCACAGCCGAGGAACGCGTTTTCTTTTTATTTTCGTTTTTAAACAATCAAAATGATGATGGTAAATTTTGCATTCGAGTAGGTTTAGGAAGGGAACTGCTCGGCCGAACATAATTACTCTTTTTTGTGACACAAACAGTTACAAGTGCAGTTTACACGGGAAAACAGTTCGATATATTAAGCACCAATAACACTAATAATTCATCTGTATTTCAACATTTGAAGCAAGTGATTGCAACCCCACTTATTCAAGTGGACGGGTTCTGCGTTCATTCAACACTCGATTTTTAAAACAATGAACAGCTAACTGCTTTTGGATGAACACATTTAGGGCATGGCTGCCGCTTTATTTCGCGGTTTTTTCCAATAACCGCCATTTTCTTTCACAGTTACAAAGGATGCGAGTATCTGCACCGAAAACACCAAATAAGAATCAGTATTTAATGTATTTAGAAATATAGTTTAACTTCTTAAATGGCATCGAAAAGAAAATTAACTCAAATAATCATACATCTTTAGGGGAAAAACAAGATGACTTTGTTATTTGATAAAAATGAGATTCCGATCGTAGGAACCTATAAACCGGACAGTTATAAGCAGTAGCAGATTTCGCTCTCTGACAAATTTTACGAGTCCGACTAGCCACTTCTGGCTAACACTGAGCGACCTCGCCAGGTTTCTTAAATGAAAAAAAAGCATTAAATCTTATGCCGACATTTGAGAGCAGGTATAATACTTCAAATTAAATTACAAAGCAAAACATCGTAATTCTTATGCTCATACGAGAAATATAGTATTGTTATCAATTTATGCAAAAAAAACAACAAAACAATAACCAACAAAATAGTAGAAACTGGAAAGTAATAGAAGTAACTGGAAAATCAGACTCTTTTCAAGAGACAATGATCAATCATATATACAAGATAACTTTAAAAATCTTTCATGTTCCAAAAAAATAACCTTCTCTCAGTTATAACTTCAAGTAAATAAGTTGGTTAATTTCTTTTTTCATTTCTTCAATTCTCAATCATAAATAATTGATACAATACTTATTATTTATATGTCTACTGTGTCTAAGACATGAATATTATGGTCGGTACACACAGAGCAAAATATCACTGAGTCAAGGTTTTGCCACAAACCCCTCCGTGTGAGTTACTTCCCAAAAAAATCGAGGAAACGCACGCGAATTTCCTGGACAAATTTTGTCGCAAAACTTTTCACAAACCTTCAGTTCACACATTGAACTGACGCTGCGGCTTACACGTGTGGCTTGTCTTCTTGTCTGTACCGACCTACTGAACTCAATCATCTCATGTAATTCATTTTTTAAATAATTGTTCCTATCTTAACTCTAAATGGTCGTCGTGTCATAAATTAATCAGCATTGAAACTGCACGAATACAACCCATGTAATGATTACCTTTCGTGGTAATAGGACGAGTATGATTACAGACCGAATCGGACGACACGAAGTACTGTTACCAATTAATCAAGACTATGGCAAAATTTGAGAAAGAAACTACACATCGTTTTCACGTTTTCATATGACGCTGTAAATACAACAATGGCATACCTAGATTACTTCTGCATCAGATGACTAACCGACTAATTCTAGATAAAACTTTTTCATTGAATTCAGTTCTCATGTTGGTGGGGTCAGAGTATGGAATTTTCTTGAACACGGTTGCTGCTCACGCAAACTGTGTCATCTGCAAGTCTAGCTACCACTCTTGACTTGAAATGGTTACGATTCAAATTTTCATCGAAAGTGACGAATGTTGCTGTCAATCTTGGTTTTAAGAGTCTGTATGAGTGGAAGGACAATTTCGGTTAAACAGTGCATGTCTCCAAAGGTAATAATAATAACGATAATAATAATGATAATAATAATAATAATAAACATAGTAACACTGGTAAGGATGATGATGACGTTGACGATGATAATAATGATAACAAAACAGGCAAAAATAAAAGAACAAAGTAACCAGCCTAACTATCCTCACAAACGTGACCTTCTTGTATGACGTATCATTCATTAAGAGGGTCTCAATGGGGTTAAACGTCAGCCGAAAAACTGCCAAAAAAAAAGCCGTTAGGTGTAAAAATTGACAAGTTTTAACCGCTAGTCGTAAAAAAGGTAACCTTCTAATTTTGTTTCTTTCTAAATTGCGTCATTTTGTGTCATTCTTGGTTAACCGTTAGCTGTAAAATGGCCACAATTTTAACCGTTAGCCGTAGAAGCCATCAACCCATTGAGATCCTCCAATAAAAACAGAAACCTTTATTGCTGTTAAATTTTGAATGATGAATAGATATATACTATAACAATAGTTATCTGCCCTCAATATCTGTATATGAAAGTTATTTAGAGCTCGACTGACCTCTAGTTCCATCCTATTTGAAGACACAATGTCGTGAGTAGGAAGTGAGGGAAGACTTGTTGAATGATCCTGCTGGTGAAGTTGAGACAAAAAATTACTGTCATAATAATGACTTTTTAACAACCACAGTAATATCAATTAACTAAAATAAACAAGACATCAAAATAAAATTAAAAACAAAATGTAACAACGCAAAAAGAAAGCAAAGCGAGAGCCTGAGCCAGACAGACACTAAAAATAACTTAATATATCTGCAGAAACAAAACAAAAAATACAAACAGAAAGGCGTAATTTAATCAGTTCCTCTCAAATAAAGGAAGAGTCCACTGAAATAAAGTTATTCGGGCTGAAAGATCGTTATTTCTTTAATTTTCCCTTCAGGGTGCCATACTTTCCCTTGTAAACTAGATACGAAATGTGTAATAGTAAGAATAAAACCTCTCGCCGACAAGCTTGTTTGTTCCTTTAGCTACTAGCTTAACAATGTATTAAAATTGCGAGGAAATGCTGACTAAATGAATGTCAGTATATGAAAGTCATATATTTGAACTGCGGATAAAGACGTGAATATAAAAGCGATCCTCGCAGTTATGAACACTACTTGAGCAGAAGTGAAAAGAAGGCCTGAAAAAGGAAAGTTTAGGCCTGTACGGGATTTGAACCCAGGACCTCTGCGGTACCCCGCAGCGCCCTGCTCATTAAGAATCTTCAAGACAACAGTTCTTTTCATGAAAACCTCATAACTCAAAATTCTCAAAACGATATATCGAAATCAATAAGGTGAAAGTAATCTTCAATGAATTCTTCGAGCTGAGCCGATCCGTGAGAGAAAGAAGCAAAAACAGTTTAAACTTCTAAGAAACTGTACCTTAGAAGACTGTTCTTTGATAACTAATGCGTTTTCAGTAAGCAAAGGGAAACCAACAACGTCCTCGTATAAACAACTCCATCTCACTTCCCAACTATGCCAAAACTTCCTTTGATGCAAATTCAATATCCTCCTAAAAATAACAAGAGCAGACATTTGATTTATTTACAGCTAAATAACAACAGTTCTGCAACCTCTCGCTTTTGAGTGAGTTTACTTAATATTTCACCAGGTTAAAACAAGTATTTAGAATTCAGAACAAATTTTCACGGCAGCGGATGAGTTACTTGGAACAACCATCTCTGTATGGCATCAAAGTTATGAGCACGCATGCACACAGGGGATCAGGTCCGAGTAAACAACTCACCTGTCTGTCAAGAGGACCACAATACTATCGTCCTCATCTGTAATGCTCATATGGTCTATATAAACATCGCCGTCAAATTTATCTAAACCCTGGAGTGGAGAAACAAATGACTATCAAATCCAACATGGATAAAACACCAAACTTTTGGGAACTCGGCGTTGAGTCTAGCTCGCAGAGCTCTACGACAAGCATCTTATGTGTTCTGTTGCTGTCGAAACTGCGTACACTTCAAAGCGACTTTTCACCAAGGTCGTTTGATAATTATTCGATAATATTCACCAAGCTTAAAAAATAGAAATTGTCATGGCATAAACACAGGTGAATACCGGGGCCTTAAAAGGTATTCAATTGTAGACGACACGACCAGAACGAACTGATGTAAAGTGCTAGTTAAAACACCGTTAAAAGGTTAATCCTAGTTTGAATGTAATCATCGTTACCTGCAAGATTCCATTTCCTTTGGCGTCGTGCTCTGAGAAAGGCTTTAAAGGCTTGTGGAAACGAATAATAAAAGTACAGGTTAGAAAAATTTCGAGGTGAAAATTTATCTTCAGTGGGTTTGAAAGTGGGATAACGTGATCGATTCAAATGAAAATACACTGATTGCAAGGTTAGGTCGGTTTTTATTGTGGTTTTGTCATCTTTTTCTTTCAAGGTTTTTGTGAACTAAAAGCCTTTTAACGTGAAATTAACAGAGAGTTGAACTTTTTTTCACTCATTCTTTCATGGATGTTTTCTTAAAGAATCAATTTGTCTTGTATAGTGTGTGTGTGTGTGTGTGTGTGTGTGGGGGGGGTGTTTTTTTGTTGTTTCAATAAAAGCAACCTAATTAAATCTCACTTTGTGCAGAAAGAAGAATTTTTCTATCTGACAAAATTACATTATAGTTCACATTCTGTTGCTGTATTTACCATATTGGGGGCTGTGAAACGGGGAATTCTCATCCTGCAGGCGATATCTTCGCCGTTCTGTTCCGCTGATCTGCAGTATATCAGAAGATGAAACCCATTGATTGTGATTCTTGAGTAGCGTTTGCAATTTATGACCTAAAGCGGACTCGTATGTTATTGTCTAGAAACCTCGAGGATGCTCGTTTGACGTATTGAAGTATAACGTTATCATGGACACGTAAAATTTGTAAGTTTGAGTTACAGAAAGTCTGGACAATTAACCATTCCGTGCAGCCTCAGCAGCTTGTGGTTTCTAGTAAAGTTGTTTTCAATCAGTACCGTTAGGCACTATAATTTCACAACAATCAACTCAGGTATTGTGTATGCGTTTAGGTTAAACCTGCAAAAATTGTGAATGAGCAACACGAGAATTTACAGCAGAAAAGAGGTAACCTTCTCACTCCATCAAGAGTAAAGCTGACCATGTCAATAACTCCTCCTGTTGGATGTGTAAGCAATCCAAGGAGGCCTTTCCCAATTCCCTTGAAAAATCCTTCCACACCCTCGGAACGGGCACCTAAACAAAATAAATTCATCAAAAGGAAAAATAGCTCTATTTTTTCTTTCAGAAGGAAAAGTTTGTGCTTCCTGGGCGTTTGAATAACCAAATCCAAACATTTCACATAGAGATAATCAACACCAAATCTTCATTAAAAAAAACATCAATCAATTATTAAAATCGAAGGTGGTTCTGAAGTCACTGTACATATTTTTTAAATTGTTGTAGAGAGAAGAGTGTTTTTATGCTAATTGCAGTCGAATGATAAGTCAAACAAGGGGGGGTCAACGAACTCGAAATAAATTTTTTCAACTGACATCCCGGACGTTAAATACTAGGACGTATTCAATGAATACATTATTCAACGAATAATTTATTTCTGCGAGGAAGCCTCATTGTAACCAGCGAAACAGTCACAGTACCCCGCATTTAACAATTCACTTAAACATGGGAAAAATAGAGGAGAATCTTACCCTTTACGGGTTTTACAACTACACCGGACAGTCCAAAGAAAAGACCCTGAGGAGGAATCAAATTGAAAGAGTCAGTCCGTCTAACAAGTCATTGTGACCACCTTCTGGATTTTAATGTCCTTTTGTTTGTCTTTAAGTCTGCATTTGAGGTTGACTTGCACGTCTGTCAAATCTTATTCCTGTTGTTCTACTACAAGATGATAAAGAGAAGGTCCTCACTATTCTCCCCCAGCATCAGTTTCGTCAGAATTCCCTGGCAGCTTAGCAGTAACGAAAAAACCCGAGTAATAACGACCATAATTTGATTTTTCGATTCTCTCCTTTAACTCCCAAGATCTCATTAGTAATTCTCCTTACTGTCTGCCATACAGTTCTTGTGCTGTTAGTTTGGAGAATTTGGTACTAGATTAACTTGTAGTCCCCTAATTGAAATTTCTCCTTATTCTCATCACTTGCCTGCTTGAAATTGTATGGATATTGTAGGAAGAAATTCTTTCTTGGTCACTCATGGGAGTTAAATGGTTAAAAAATCCGCAAATTCAACTCACCATCAACAGACTTTTTCCTCCCATCAACAGTCCTTGACCAACACCTTGAGGTTGACTGTGCATGCGCAGACGTCGTCGCTAGAAGAAAAAAACACGTTCTTGAATGACAGCTTCGCAATTCGTTCTACGATGCGCGATAGCCAATAGCGAAAAGCTCACTTATGTACATAACTCAACGCCAATAGAATTGTCTGCTTGCTTCCCTCTCTGCTCGAAGCAGATGTAAAACGTGGGCTGAGCTACTCACCATCTGGAAATTTGAGTCGAACGTGAGCGTGGCCACAGCCTGACCCAATGACCCCGTTATGCGCGAAAACGCCCCTGCGGTTCCACCTGCGTAAAAAAATATTTATATCGAAGTGTTGATAACAACATAAAGCAACATTCATTTTTATCTTTGCTTTCATTGTTCCAAGAGGCCTGGCCTGCAGTTACCTTGTATTAATCTGAACGCAAGAGAGTTTGCACCAAAAACAAAACAAAACAAAACAAAAACAAAAACAAAAAAAGATACCGAGTGTGCCCTAGGGTTAAATACCGCCACAAAGGAAAAAGGTCCGTGTAGAAACTGAAGACGGCATGTCTGACGAGTTCTGTTCTGCATATAACCACATTTTGCCGATTTTGCCTAATATGTAATTAAAAAAAGACCTTATGCAATCCTTCGAGTCAACTAGGAGAGTACGTCACTCAACGAAAAATTTAAGAATGCCACTCTAACACAAAATTTAAAGAAACTGGGTATGTTACGTTATTGATTGTAACTTCGCTTAAGTTACCTATCACATGACCCAGCAAGCTCCTAACACCACGAGCTACACCTTCCGCAAACTCTCCTGGCCCTGCAATGATACCCTAACAAAATAGAAAAAATACCATGTCAGAATTTCGTCCACTATTTTTGTCCTTTCTTTGACGAACAAAAAATCCCAACTAACCTGATAGGGCTCATAAAACAAGTCCTTAACTCCTTTGCCAATCCCTGTAATCAGTGCGTACGGGTTGCCAAGCACATCAAGGCCCAGTACAAGAACATAAACTTGACGCACACCCTGCAAGATGAATAGAACAGGGTTTATTCTAGAGCGCGGCTTGACGGGATTTCCGCGATTTGAAAAAAATATTCCCCCTAAAGCTTACCACTAAGTGTCGAATGGGGCACAAAATATTGCACTCAAGGATAAACATATTTTTTCTTTCCGAATTACATGCTCGAAAACGGGAGTGACAAGATTGATATCAGAGCTACTATATAGCCTCTTAAAGCGTCAACTGCCCTCCTCTTCTTCGTTTCTCCACCGTCTTAAATCTACGAATACGTTCAAACACCTTTTGGGATTCCCCCTTTCTTGAGACCCCTTCTTGAAAAAAAGGACTGAAAAAATTAAAACCTTTTCGAATGAGCAAACAAAAATGTAGATACAACGATACACACTAAGAAATACGTTGCGCTAAATATTTACCTGCATTGTGTAATGCCGCGTGATCTGAGCAACAAGATTCTCTTGAGTCAAAAATGCACTGACTCGCTCGAAATAAGCCATTCTGGGAAAAAATTGATCAAATGAATATGTGCAACGAAAGAATAAACAAAGCAAAATTTTATATATGACAACCTCCCACAATTCCAAATATAGGAGTCATCCACAAAAATGCTTTTTTATTTGTAAAAGCATAATACTTGATTTGAATAAATGTCCACAATAAAGGCTTGAAAACTGGAAACACAGAATTCCAACAAAGACCCGTCTTCACTAAGGACAGATAATGCTAAATTAAATTCACAAAGTAAACAGCACCACACACCATTGCTATCATAAGCTGGTTTTTGGGAATTTTGACGTGAAGTGAAAGATTTTGGACATTAGTGTCCGATTTTAGACAATGGCGTCGTATTTTGGACACTAGTATGCTATTTCTATGCCTGTAGTGTCCGATTTTGCTTACAAGTCTGATTTTAGACAGTAGTGTCCAATTATTAGCGTCCGATTTAATACACTTCCGATTTTAGACACAAGTGTCTGATTTTAGTTAAGCATTAAAACGGTTGTCTTACTTAAGTGTGGCATCATTAATATCTGTGAGCGTCGCCCCAATGGAGTCGACAAAGAAATCCAACAAGTCTTGAGCAAAAGCTTGATCCTCATCGTCCTCATCAAACGAAGACGCCAGTGAAAAACTGAGGTTGATCTAATAGAGAACAATTTTAGTCACTTCACTGACAATATTATTTAATACATAGATTCTTTTTTGCCGAAGTGATAGATCACAGAGGCATCCGGTCGATTCGTACCCACGGTTGAGTCGGTTCGTAACCAAGTTTGAGTCGGTTTGTAGCCAAGTTTAAGTCGGTTCACAGATGAAGTCAAAATGTGGTAAGAACAAAAAAAAAGGTTGCACACAAGGAACAGCTGAGTGTTTCACTGATGTGCAGCACATTGCGAAGTTCAACAAACACAAGGAAAGAGGATAATCGAATCCAAAAAGAGAAAACAAGATGACAAAAGGTGATTACTTCATTTTGTCATCTCTATCATTCTTAACTTGGTTTGAATGCTTATAATTAGCAACGTCTGGTTTGCTAGACGAGTCCTTTTAAAAACATGATTCTATATTAATCACAATTGTCCGGTCTGGGCAAAACCGATCAACTAACTGTAAATACTAGTTCGTAATTATAACAAAAGAATACAAGCAAAAACTTCCGACAAACAAAACGTCAAACCAACAAACCTTGAGAGGGGACAAATGAAAGTACTCTAGGAAAACTTTTTGCGTCTCCAATGCGGCCTGCAGTCAGAATATTGATATAAAGGTTACAAATTTTTTTCTTACATGGAAAATTAATTAGTACAAACTCATGTATTTTCAACTTATGGTCGCCATGTAGTGGAGATAATTTATATGTTGTCGAAAGTAACCTCAGGTTGAGTTGATCTGAAGTATTATGTTGTATTGGAGTTAAAAATTTACCCCGGTATTCCCTACCCCCTCCCCCCCCAACAAGTCTGGCGCAAGCTTAAACCAATCCCTTTCCGGTCAGTAGTATTTTCAAGTACTGGAATCATTTTACATGTGTTTAAAAGTAGTTCTCGATGGTTCTTCGTGATGTTATTTAAACAAAGTTTTTCCATTGTTTAACAGAACCGCGTTCTAAGTCATCTTCAATTTAGCTGAACCTTTAATCTAAACATTTTGTTTTTTGAACAGATTTAAGAGGGCCGAAAGCTCATAGTGGAAGGACATCTTATGGAAAATCCATGAGGACCACTGCTTGTGTAAGACCGCGGTTGGGGTTAAACCTCGTGTAAATAACCGGCCCTAAGAGTTCTACCAACCCACTAGACTTTTAAAATTGTTTACATTATTAACACAGGAAAATTGTCAGCCGATACAAACTTTTACTGCTTTGGTTTCCCTCAAAGGCACGGCACATCGTTTCATGTCTTCTTCGAAATAATTTTCCTGTCATGAAAACAAAATGCAAACATCAATCAACAAATGAAGGACGGAAGACAATAAATGGGACCTGAGGCAGATTTGATTTCTACACAAGTGCAGAAAACTAAATTACTGAAAGAACCAGACACTCTGCAAATGTCTTTTTTTTAATCTCCTCCTCTCCTTCCGCTTTTTTTCCTATCCATTATTTTAACTCGGACAATGCCTCTTACCTCTTCTAGAAGTTCCTTCTGTTGACTGAAAAGACTTGCCATAGAAATAATGAATCCTTTATCAATTCTCATATTCATCGCCTGTACCAAAGCCTTAGCGTACCTGTCGATACAAATAAAGATTGCAATTATCCAAGTTGATCCAACACTGGAGTTAGTGGGCTGGACTCCTGCTCGGGAGGTCTGAGTTCGTTTGAGGAAAACACTTCACTTTCACAGAGCCTCTTTCCGCCAAGGAGTAAAAAATAGGTTCTAGGAATTGTCACGGAAGGCTGATGAAATGTTGGGGGGCAACCTTGCGATGGACTAGCATCTCATCCAGAGGGAGTATTGATACTCCTAGTTGCTTCATGATAAGGAAACCGGGATAAGTTTCGGCTGGACGTGCCACTGACTCGAGTACAAACTTACCAAACACTGAACATTGGTGTGCGGCTAAATCTGCTATGCACTTACTTTATGTGGTGCATTCCTTCTTTAGGGACGTGATGATAAATCACTGACACTTCAATGAACGGTTTCAGTCCTGAAAGAGCAAATTTTCGTTAAGGGATACGCTATACACAGAAAGTATCAGGCTAACACACGCGTACCTTCATATATGCCCTATTCTAGAGGAGATATATAGAAAGCTGTTTTCAAAACTAAGCTCTCTGGTCTTACGAAAATAAAACATGAACCTCTCACGTTAATTAGATTTTTCGGTGCAGAATGCATAACCAATTCGAAGTACAGAGAAGCAGAGATTGTCTACGCCTAAATCCTTCTGAAACCTTCGAAAACAGGAGTGATCAAAATATCACCTAGGAGAGACACCTTTATCAACAAGCCTTGTATTGGGAAATTTTTAACACTTTGCTTGACAGACTTAGCTGGTGCATACCGTAAAATGTCCTCAAACGAAGAACAGAAGCACTCATCAGCACTATATTTTAGCCAGTTATTCAGCACGCGTGGCTTGTCTAATGAATTGCATGTCCGGTCGCAGTTGCAATGAGCGCGAACTTGGTAGACAACTCCCATTATTACATAATAGCAAGCAAGGCAACTGTACGTACCTGTCCTCTGAATGATGGCAGAAGGTAGCGGTGATGGATAAAGAGCAACTGGAAAAACCGTGCCGAACTGCTGATTATCAACCTGAAATAAGCAAAACAGCGTGTAATGCTTTGCAACGAAGATAAGTTAGAGAATAGTGGCAATATACCTATGCATAAAATAAACATTGGAGCACCTGGGTCTCAAAGCATATACGCCGGTGCAAAGAATGATCCCTCCTCAGTATTGAAGCAGGGTCGAGAAAAAAAGACGAAAAAATCACAGGTTCTAATCTATATCTAAATGCACTTTAATCTTTGAAATTTTTGGAAAACAAAATTATCCAGCCGAATATTTTATTTCAAAAAAATTTACTTATAATCAGACGGAAGAAAAACCTAAAAACGGGAAACAGCTGGCAAAGCCATCATCTTTCCTCACCTGAATTCGATGCATTCTGCAGTGCAAACTGTGGTAGTGATCTGATCGGGAGTAATTTAACCACAAAGCAGGTTCAAACAACCTTTGAAGGGTCCCGCTATACGGGCGAGTCATAGTCATTGAGTTTAAGTTCACCTGTACAGAGTCAACAGAGAGAATCACTCGTTTAAGCGAACAAAAAACCCAGATATAAAACGTAGGAAAAATGTTTTGAATTCCATGAGAGGATGTCAACCACAGCTAATTTCCAGAGGGACGTTCTGAAAACTGAGGGCCAGGCCATGAACAACAAAAGTAAGATTAAAATATTTACACTTTGGAAATAGGGATAATATTTCTGGGAATGTTTTTATGGATTAAAAAAAGGAATAACGAAATCAGAGCTAAATCTCTCCTTTTAGAATTATTGTCAACGACTACAGTACATTAAATATTTTCAAAAGTGTTCTCTTTTATATAAATTGAAAGATATTGGAACGCAGTCGTAACCTCCCTGTCTTCCAAGGCGATTTCCTCTGCGTTATTCCTCCAGGCATCCTCTAACCAAGTTGACAACTCTAGATTGAGGGTCTTCCATTTTCCAGAAGATCCCTTTACTTGCCAGACTGAGGATGAACTGTGAAACGATTCCAAATTAAACAAAGACAGATCACTTAATATCTATTACTTACTCAGTTGAAATGAGGTATACCCTAAATGTAGATGCATCAGAAAATCAGACCTAATTAGGACCTAGGGTTCCAGATGAGTATTTCAAACTGACCCCTATAAGAGGAAAAGCTACAATTTTTTATCACTAAGAAAAATTTTCCTCGATTTCTTTCGCGTTATAGTTGAGGAAAGCGACCCCGAATCAGCTATCACGCTATAGTAATCGTGAGCAAATACACTAGTTTAGTATAAATCTACTAGTTGTTAAAAACTTAAAGACAAGTTCATCTTTCCATCATTTTTTTTACAACCGCATAATGTTCGACTACTTACTTCGGTTCACCCCCTATTTATTGCGCAATACATTGCGAATAACGGAGCATTTCTGATAGACCCTTTGTAGATTTATACTAATTGGAGTAAATCTTACCCTGAAGCAGCATAAACAGTTGAAATAAAACTTTAGTAGTGTAGATGAACATGAAAAGGTTTAAAACAAACAAAAGATGAACAAGGAGGGCTGAGGATGGTGAAGATGTAAACAGATTGCAAATGATGAAAGGGAAAAGTTTAAGATGAAAAAACCGAGGAGAAACATTACCTGGACAAGGTTATGTATGCAACTTCATCAGGTTTGCTGTTGACCAGTGACAAACCGACACCATCCAGTGACATGAAAATCTCCATAGTAACAACTTCAGAGTCACAACACTGAAATCATTAAAGGGACTGCAATAAATTTACGACATAAAAGAACATATTTTATTCGAAACTTTCAAAAGTTCCAAAAGCGATCTCTTTCATTTTTTGAAAGCAAGTGTATTTGTTTCGTGATTACAAGAAAATGAGCTTGATTCTAATCCAGTTTCTAATACCTTCCGAGCCAGACAGGAAAGATTTTCATCATCTGCAAATATCAGCACCCTTTGCAGTCCGTCCATGACAGACACCCAGTAGATAGTCTTCTTAACCCTGTGTACCACCGGCCCATCCACAGTATCCCACTCCGCCTCATCTATTCCTACAGGTACAGCATTTGACGAGCCGCAAAACAATCCACACGTGCTGTCTCTGTCTTCCAACTGATTTCGGTCATCTTTAACTGGTGGGGAGATTTCATCGAGTTCCATTCGAATTTCGCCGAAGCTGTCCTACAATTTTAAGTTAATTAGGCAAATACTCAGAATGGAGGGGGGAGGGGGGGTGTAAAAGGGAAATATGCACCGTTCAGCGAAATGTATAGAACTCTTGCCGATAAATGCCCTTCTACTGGACAATTCAATTTCAAATGGGTCGTTTCTTTGCTAGAAGTGAAGAACCTGGAAAAGAGCCTTTTGGAAATTCATCGGAGAGCTACCTTCGTAAGGCTGCTGAGTTACACTAAAATTTCTGAATGTTTCCTTAAGAATTTTAGCAGGTATTACAGAAAGATGCAAGTGCCGCTCTTCTGAATAAATCTGCAAATCTCCAGTAAAGACACTGATACTGGATCACAACAACGCGATATATTAAAATCATTGCAAACAAAAATGGCATCAAATACGAGTACTTGTCGAAGACAGATACAAATAAAATTCAACGAAAACTGCTTTTTCTTGAGATCCTACCTCATCAACTTGAGCCTCAATTGGCTTATCTAAGCCCTTGAACGGTTTCCAGAGCAGTTTTCTTACACCTAATGGATCATCCCAAGTGTACAGGATCATCTGCTTAGAGTCAAGCAACGTCACCTGCCCACAGTCTCTGAAAGTTATTGGTACTCAATCAGGAGCAATTGCGAATTGAAGAAAAGTGACATTTGTTTCTTAAAAAATAGAGGTATCAGTAACACATTATCGCCCACCCACAGCCCTTCAGTTAACCATTGTCTCAGTATGCATCGGAAGATATGAAAATCAGAGCAAAATGAAGAGGAAGGCGCTCCCCCATCTCACCCAAAATTTGCATTCGCAAAGAGAGGATCATTCTATATAAACATTTTTCCGCACTAGAATCGCATTGGTCTACAATACCAGGTTAGCTTTCAAAAATATGGACATAATCATATCATCTTACATACGTGCTGCCACTGAACTTACTTCTGATGAAACCGGATCGGAATATCGTCACACAGGTTTTCAATCCTGATTGTTGCAATTCCAGGCGAGTAAGGTGACACCACTACAGTTGTCACGGCTTCTTCGACCTCTCCATGAACGTCGACAGTGAGAGCCTGCCAATCCGGAATCCGAAGAACTGTCGTGTGCGATGAGTCGAAACTGAAAGGCTTCGAAATGAACTTTGACATTGTTGGCTTCAACACGATTGAACTGGACTTGTCATTGGGCCAAAATGGTTTGCTCTAAAAACGAGACCATAGGCAAACGGTTCTCCAATTTGTATTCTGGACTGACCATTACCGAAAAAAAGGTTTTGTAACATTTTGACAATTGATATAAACATTTTTAGTTCTACTCTAAATAAAGCCCCGGTGGCTCGAGGGGTAAATACCGCTATCCACCGGAAAGTTCTCTATCTCGGTGGATAACACAATACGGTTTGTTAACACTTGTGTATTGGGTGCCCCTGAATCTCATTCTTACCAGCAGCAGGTAAATTTTCCCGCCTGAAGACGAAACTACAACGATTTCATCTCTCCATCTTCCAGTCATAAATTTTAAAAACGCAAAAATAGTTCAGTCTGCCATTTTTATTCGAATAAATGTATAGAAAGTTGTGATGGTGTGATTCACTTACTTCTCCTGGTTCCACAACAAACCACAAAGCCTTTCTGTTTATATTTTCAATAAAAGAGAACGAAATCTGCGAAGAAAAGGTTTAGAAAGGATATTTGTAATAAAGATTATTAACAAACTTAAATCTGTTTTCCATCTTTTTTATATACAATTCATAAAAAGCAAAACAAACTGAATAAACACAATCAAACAAAAAGAAATGCCGGTATAAACGATGAGTCGGGGAAGAGGGTACTTTCCTTCATGAGCTACCCATAAAGATATCTCCCGCCCCCAAGGATTTAGCTTCTAGGGTGTTTTGGCTCTCATAGCCAAAAGCAGACTGTATTGTTGCTGTGTTGTTGCTGTGTTGTTGCTGTGTTGTTGCTGTGTTGTTGCTGTGTTGTTGCTGTGTTGTTGCTGTGTTGTTGCTGTGTTGTTGCTGTGTTGTTGCTGTATTGTTGCTGTATTGTTGCCGTGTTGTTGCTGTGTTGTTGGTGGGGGGAACTGGCCTTTAGTTAAGTATAGATTCTAACCACTTTTTTCATAACCAGGTAACCTTTTAAAGGTACCGTGTCCGCGCTCTATGAGCGCCATCCCCCAAATAAGCACCCACCCCTTGGCCACTATGTGAAACAAGTGCCCCTCTTAATTATTCTCCCCCCTCCTTCCTTATTTTCTTACACTATAGGGATACAAAGAAACCCTGTTTCTATTGCCACTATATTTCTGACTTTTAAAGCTTTAAAAACAGTGGAATCAGTGTATGAGAATGGTTTCTTTTTCGTTAAGTCACTTCCAGTTTTTTCTATCTAGATATCAACTTCGCGTCTACGCAGATATTGTTGTAGTTTTAGTTTTTCTTTTAAATATTTAGCTAAAATAAAGTTAGTTTATTGAAAGGAAAATTGAACAAGCGCCCCCTCGATTAAGCGCCCTCCCTCCAATAAGCGCCCCTTAGCTGAAATTTTAAATAAGCGCCCGGGCGAGGTAATACGGAAACTTTGTAAAGGGGCAATGAATGTCACATACCTCCGTGTTGTTAATGATGACGTATTTCGGGGTTAACGTCACAACCCTTGTCAGCCCTGTCCTGGACATTTCAATTTGTAGGATAAACTGAAACAATAAGACAAGGGGTATAAAACAAAATGAACGAACAAGGACTGAGACGAAAATAAATATGACTACGTCATCGACTGAGCGAGAGGTCAAGATATCATTTTTGGGCAGGTTCCCAGCTTTCTCTTCTCTATTCCTTTGTAACGTATCTGAGAGCAGGTTGAAGCATTATTCCTAACGGAAACAAGGAAGGTAATTCCGAGCCGATATGATGTAACTGTATCACTTGGAGAGCCAAATTCGGAACACAGAATTCATAAACATTGTTACAATAAAGGTCGCTACATTTACCTCCAGTACTAACTCTAGTTATCTTACCTCAAACCTTTTTGAGTCACTTCCTTTGCATGTTACCTTTCCAGAATCTCCAACAGCGTCCAGAGAAAATTTGCTCGACCATGGATGTCCAGGCAGTCTGATCTTGGCCTGGGAAGACAAACAAACAAACAATAAAATAATTCCAGATTCAAGGAAGGCAAACACGTCTTTTCCGAAGCAACTTTCACTTGTATTCTTGTCAACTCATGGCTGCTAACACACGATAACAAGGTAGGCAAACCAAACGTTTCTCGATGTGCTACCAAAACATTTGTTTTTGTGATCATTTTTCTTTTTTTTGTAACTTATCTATAGTTTCTGTCGACCGCAAAAGGCTTTTTAGAGGAAGCAGTATTTTTGCACGCTTAACTCCGAATTCAGTTGATGCTAAGAAAGCCCGTCATCATAACGCATAGCGGTATGCGCCAATGTGCCTATGCGCAGACAGTGCTCTGGTGTAAGACAAACTATATTTCACACCTACCTTTCTATAGGTTTTTTCAGTGAAGTTAAAAAGAAGTGGATGTTGTTCTACAGCAGACTGACGATAAACTTGTTCACATCTTGAGACCTTAACGAGAAGGAATTGATTTAAATTCAAGAAGTTATCCATCATTCCGGTAAATGTGTTTTTTGCTCAGTGTAGAGAGATTGGTTCATGGCTTCCACACTTGGGATAGGTAGGGGAATTACAAATATAAAACGGATGAAAAAGAAACAGATTCAAAATAAGAAAATTGAGGGTAACCAGCGTTTCCCGCGCGTGGCACCGTTTGCCTTGGATTAAAAATAGCTTTCGTCGACTTGTTCTTATCGTTGCACACTGGACATGAATTGTAGCCGGCAACACTAGAAAGACAATGCATTGATAATAAGGAAAACACCAAAAAGCCGCTGACTTCTTGTCCTTACCCTGTACTCCACATGGAGTCCAGTCTTGTTGATGAGCCAGAAGGGAGAGTAGATCAACAGCTCTCTTGTCCCTTGTTGGGGCATCGATTTCACTCCAAGCGACTAACAAAACAAAAACAAAACAAAAAAATACAACTTACCTTTGAAACTTTGACGACTCATTTTTTTAATGGAAGATTTCTTCTGAAGTTAACGTTACAAATTGCTAAATGTTACTATTCCCATACTTCTCCACGTCTATTTAAGCTTTAGTATCGCGCAGTATCAAACAGAGACGGACAAACAAGTTATATATGTCGATCGGCAAAACTCAGTTATACGCCTTTAACTTTAGAAAGATGGAATATAGAAAAGGGCATTCCCACGTTTTAGGGTATATTAGAGAACTCATGCAGAGGCGATTTTGAGACGCTGCGGCAACTGGAAGAGTAATAAAACTAATTCTGGCGCGTTTTTACACCGATGAATCGACCGTAGAGTCGTCGTTTTAGCACCTTAAACCAAATTATGCTGACCAAAAAGGCGTGGAGAGCCCTAGAAATGGAAACTTTTAACTTCAGGCTTCCGTTCGCGTTTGTGCTTAGCTCCATATTCAATAACGAAACACTTTTAAAGCTCTCACACTCGAGCAAAATTGTTTAAAGAATTATACGAGAGGATACCATTGAACTAAGTCTGGATGAAAGAAGTAAGGCAAGGTGGAGAAATACATTGTAACTTACCAATTCTTTGGAGGTGTCTCTCTGTGAACGCATAAGTAATTGACGGGATTTATGTCGTTGTTTCTTCACAAAGATATCTCCAACCCAATTGGCTTCTCCGTAATCTTTAAGCTTTGCATTGAAAATAAAAAATTGAAAGAGTCATTATGTCCTTGCATCGGATTTGTGCCCCATATATACTTGCATTAATAAAAAAAGAACTATTAAATGAATGTTATAGCATTGGAACGAAAACAATTACAGTTTCAAATACGATGAAAAAAGCCTATAACTAAAATCGAATCTATAAAATTTGTACAGGCAATCAATTCATTTCGAGTACAATTTGATACAAACAAGCGCTCTTGGCCGATGAGCATGTTGAAATAACTGAATATAAATTATAAATTGATGATCAATTGATTTGATTCGATATTATTGAACAAGATGATCAGAAAAGACGAACATAAGCATTTTCACCCAAAATGAAAACCAAATACTTTTTAAAGTTATTGAAACGAATAATACTGTATTACCGTAACAGTTATTTTGCAATCATCTCCAGGACAAACATTGACAAAAGTTACTTTATCACCAGCACTGAGTACTTTGCCTTCTCCACCTCCCCCCTAGTGAAATAAAGAAAAATAGAAAAAATTTCTCAAATTATCTTCGTACACTTAAATTTTAATCTAAGATATTTGCAGTTTGATTCTTCCTTACTATATTATGAAACCTAATCAAAAGTCAATCCACCCATCAGTGGAGTTTTCGGTACCTGAACTGTATGAATATACTATCCCTCCTCTCAAGGGGAAATGCAGCGACTGCAATCACCCAAGTAACAAGCAACGGTGTGAGAAAGGGGTTTCTACATATTTGCGAGAAAATCGTTCGACAAACAGGTAAAAGACAGGAAGGTAAAGACAAGTTACATGTCAATCCCTTTTTACAGTTAAGGGTTAACACCATGCTTAAGGATAAGCTCAGTTGTCAGAGATTGTTTGTCGAGGTTTCCATATCCTCCCCATTGCCAAAGATACGCTAGATACGTAAAAACAGGAAACCAGGCCTTACGGAGCAGTTTTCAGTTAAGTGTTGAAAAATCAAAACCAGATTTACCAAAACGGCCAGTTAGAGCAAAAATAAAGTCATCATCCACTAATGCGAACTCAAAGTGAAAACAAGTCAACCGCGGAACGACGAGGTGACCAAGTCGTGATTTGTTTTAGTAGAGAATCTAATTGGTTGAGAGATGTGCCCGTGTTTTCTGGACCAATCACTGAGCCAAACCTGGATTAATTTCAAGACTCCATCGAACATAGCCCTAAAATACCTTCCTCGAGAGGACTTTCCCTATTGGTCACAAAGGTTTTGATAGTAGCAGGGATTATTAACAAAACGATTACCTACCTCTGTTGATAAGACTAGCTCAAATGGAAGTTTATTTTGCACGACTAAGGGAGGGTACAAATGGATCACATGATGGGGAGAGTCGTCACTAGTTGGCAGTTTGTTCAAGCTGTCTGTTAAACAAAGGGCCTGGAGACAAAAATAGTAAATTTAGATCTTACATGCAAGCTAGAAGATCTATTTTAAGTAATTCCATCAAACAGAACTGTACCTTGATGAAAAAAGGGGAGGAAGACTCTGAAGTTATCGTTGACGAACAAGACAATACGTGAGACGGCTCTCCTGTGGAAAACTTTCTCCACGATATCGAGGAAGATGAGATATCAAAACTGAAATAAAAACAAATCACCACATTTCATCCAAAACATTCAGTTCGAATGATAAAATTTGATTGCTCCTTTTTCTCTTTCATGTACTTGGAGTCAAAAAAGACGAATGCACTGTAGTGGTTTCTTTGAAAAGCATAGCCTTGTCAAGAACACAAAGGTCAAAATCTAAAACCGTTTTCAGGCAGAAACTATGCACAGAACGTCATCTCTGAGGCAGTACACAACAATGTAGCTGATACGGGGCGAGGTTGGGGCGGAGACAGCATTTCCCCACGTCCGAAAGCATGGGAACTACGACTCCAGAATGAGCTCAGAAGACAATATGATGCAGTTATGTCGCATGAAATGATTGAAGAGAATAATTATCTGCAACAAAGTTTGAATGTATTTTGGCGGTAAGGTTAATTATGTTCCAGTTTAGGTTTTACTTCGCACTCCGATACGTTTTGCAGAAGTTTTCCCATACAAATCCACAACGGAGAAATATGGAAAAACACGAAATAATTCTGAAAGATAATTCTGCTACTTTGCTGAGCTAAAGGACCTAACTTACTCAGTACCACCAGGTTTAAAGAAAAGCTCTTCGTTGTAAGCCGTATGTAAAGGCACATTCTGCACACCACCAGATTCCACGCTGAAGAGTTTGAAAGGATGGTCTTCTCCCGATTCTAATGAATCTCGTCTCTTAACGAAAATATCCACTGGGACATGAAGGTGGTTTTGGATCTACGAGAGAATTTCACAGGCTTCTATTAAACGATTAAGATTGCAATACAAGACTCGAATAAATGTCCCGGCTGACCCCGGTCAAGTTATCCGGTCAAACGTATTTTTGCTCGGACGCAACCCATTTTTGGCCAGACAAATATCCATTACGTCACATCGCAACAAATTCCACCTTCCCCCCCCCCCCCTCACATAGAACAAACATATTGAACCAGAGATAGTTTGTTGATCGGCCACTATTTTGAACCCTGCAGCAGCTCAATGTTAGAGTACCAACCAAAATGGGGAGGGGTAATATTTGCAGATGTTTAATGTACTCAGATGATCCGCGAGGCAAGTAATTTTCGAATTTCCTGCAATTATTACACACATTCACGGCAATAATGACCACGACACTGGAAAGAGTTTATGATGACATCAAATATATATTTCGATAAAGATGATTAAACACGGTGGACACCTTTTAGGTGGGTTAAAGTTTTGGTGAGAAAACACTATAGACATCTTACCCGCAGTGGTGACCTAATAGTGACTGTTTTACGACCGCGCTTTATATCTACTTGAACAACGATATACCATTTGTGTTTTGCCTGAAAACAAAATGAAAACAAAATTAATAAAACTCAGGACTCAGTGGGACCTACTTTCATAGCCACCAATTGGTGATGTAAAATCATAAAATGTTTGGCAGAGATTGAAAGTTAATTCGTCAGAAAAATAATGAAATTTATCGAAGAAAAACTGGGGAAAAAAAGGCTAGCGTTCGTTTTTTGAAGTACATAGAATATCTCCAGGCTAAATACAAAGACAACCAAGGATGAAGAGGAAATTTGCTAGAGAGAATTAACAACATTTTATGCATACACTTATCTCACTTAAACTTTAGACCACAAACTCTACGTAAAAGCAACTTTATCTACAAATTTACTCGCCAACATTTTTTTCTACTTGCCATGGCGACCAAAAAGGTCGCATCTTGAAGAACGGTAACCGCGAAGCGCGAAGCGCGTGGGCCATAAATCCGTGTGGGAAAAACGAGCCTCCGTAACTTACAGTGCGGACCGAGAAAACTAGGTTAGTAAGTCATTTATTATATCTCTGGTTTCAAATAGATGGGGGATATTCAATTTACACAACTTTTGAAATTAGCGGGCCGCACAGTGAAATACAGCCCGCCGAATTGGCCAAAATAATGGGGGTTTCGTAAATAAACTTAGTTTCGCAAGCTGTCATACAACGCTGTTATCCTAATTACCTCACAGAACGGTGCATCTCGTGGAGAAAGCTCGTGCAGGAACGATCCAGAGCGACTAACGGAGATGACATTCATATGGTAAAACCCATCCACCTAGCGAAAATAAGTTTCAGTTAGAAGAAGAAGATGAAGATGGATTGGCCATATTCACCAAATGCCATCCTTAGCCCTGCCCAAAGGTGCATGCCTCCGATGGACTCCCTTAGGCCTCCCCAAAGAAACTTGAAAGAGAGGCGTAGGAAGGGAAAAGAGGCACAGGGGCTGGACACGAGGGCACCTTGCCTTAACCGACAGGTAACCGACAGAAATTAATGGTGTTCTCTGCCCGAGGCCTTAAGTGCATAGACGCATGAAGAGAATAAATTAACTGTCTAAATGAAACTTTAATAAGAAAGGGTTTCACCGTCACCACGGACTAATAAATGTGGACATGTTTTGTTGTTCGAGGTTAACTTGTCTTCAATAAGTGGTTGGAATGAGTGCTTGACTCAACTTTGTTGAACACGAGCGATTATAAGTAATTTTATTTAAACCAGGGCGCACTGTTTAAGTGTATCTGTTATAACTCCAAGATCACAACAACAATAAAATAAGGTTAACACATTTATAATAGACTTTTGAGACTATGAACAGGCAACAAAGACTGAAAAGAGGAGAGACGGTAACTTACAGTTAAAGAGATAATGTTGTCATCGTCCGCAGCATCATCAGAGCCGAACTTTCCTCGTTGCTTGTCCTTGCTTTTTCTTTCATGATGAGGTGAAAGCAACCCACCAAACAAAGAACCGATGTTGGCAATTGCATGACCCACTTGCGTTTCGGCAAGACCTGTAGCGAAAAAAAGGTTTTACATTTCAGTCAACTTTTTTTGGACACATTTCAAATGTGTAATATCATAAAATACAATTTCGAAAATCTCAGAGTAGAATTATACGCAGAGATTTCTTTGCGTGATTTGGATAAACTCTTCTCTTAATTTTTGACCACAAAGTATTTTGCATGGTGGCTTTCATATTTCTCATTCACTTAAGTCGTTTAAAACTTATTAGACTGTACTCTTTCCTTAGAGTTCATTTTCAAACAATTTTTTTTGCGATAATAATGATAAAACACTTTCGCGGCGAGCATTCAAATAAACAAGAGACCCCAATAAATACAGCTGGAAAAATTGAAAAAAAAAATAATAAATCGCTTTTTTGTAAGATTGAATCCTCTCCATATTTAGAGCTTTTTACTTTATTACGTGCACTTGCGTCACTTACTGTCTTCCCCTTCACGTTCTTCAAGGTGTGGCAGAGCATTTAACGTTTCCTCTTCGCTTTCCTTCCTAACTTTGACCTTATCTCGCTCTGAGGACAATTCAGTGCGTGTTTGTTGGGTATCAGTGTTTCCGTCCGTCTGCGTCGTGGCTGAATCAAGAGAAAGACCCTTTCTTAAAGCAGGTTTTTTCCTAAATTCTTCTGGGCCGATTTGGAAAGAAACTGTACCCTGAAGGGACAATTTACGCTGCCTGATGGCATCGAGAGTCACCGGATCAGATGAGGCTCTTTTCTTTCGTATTTTGTAGAGTTTCTCCCTGAGGTGATTAAATACTGGCTCGGTTATTGAACGCAGAAAATCGTCACGTGGATATCGTTGTGTCTTATTGGCCAGGTCTACCGCGACATCTGCAAGGCCAGAATTCCCTATGGCTGGCAGTTTCGGAATTCTCTGACGTACGGTTAACTGTTCCGTATCTGAGACCTAATGGTAAAAAAAGACAATTGGCAAGAAAAATGAGATGCTTTAGCTAGAACATACAACAAACACCAGACATTTGGCTCATCCTAATAAGAAAAATTCACATAAACTTAGATTAGGACGTTTTAGGAAAATCCACGAGCCATGTTACCCATGTTGTCCACATACGAGATTAACTAGCGTACCTGCCAGAATTTATGAGAGAGTTAACCGGTCCTAAACTATTTTACACGATTGTAGAGAGCCACCACGAAAAGAAAGCATCTTACCCGATAAACAAAGACCCTGGCCAACCATGTAGAAACACAGAGCTCGTAGGCGGTAAAAGAGAAAATATGGTAGTAAGTGCTCTATCTGAATAGCACATACCTGAAGCTTATGGCTCACTGTCACTGCCGCATGGATTCCAAGCTAAAAAAGTGTGCACCTATTAGCTAAATTATATTTGAATATCTCGCCAACCAAACTAATTTATTTTAAATAATTATAAACAAATTAATTAGATCTAGTAGTCTGATCGCCCAATAGTGGGTAGTCCTGATAAGAACCGTTGAAGGTAGAAGTGACTGACGTTTCGACAACCTGAGCGGAAATTATCCTAAGCGGATCAGTCGAGTCATCTCTACTGTTATGATGACTTCCGCCGTTCTTCTCAGAACTAACCTCACTAGATCAGTAGACTACAGGATCAAACGTCACCCCTGGGTTGAAACCATTTACTGCAAATACAAATTACCTCTAATTTTGAGGCGCTCTTAATTTCTGTTAACAACTGAGAAGCGGATGTCCGCTAAAACAGGTTTCACTACCGCTAAATACGATGTAAAGCAAACGTCTTCTAAAAATAACGACAAGAATGGAGACCGTTGTCGTTTTACAGCACACCTCGTTATGGATGACAAAGGTTGCCAGAGGAACTGTTCTCAGTTTCTTCGTTCTATCAATCGTCCATAGCTGAGAAAGTAAAAAGACAAAGACTCCAATAGCATCAACTACGCTGACATCAACAAAGAAAGAAAAGTAACTTTACATCATGTACTAATCCAGAACCTCTAAGGCTTACAATAAAAAAAACGCCCAAAATATTGACAATCGTTCATAGAAAAAAAATGAAAAATAAACCCAACACCACAAACGTATCTCTGCCGAGTTCAGAGTAGCGCCCTTATTCTGTATTTATCACAAGTTAGAGCTGTTGAAGGCTGTCGTATTTACCCGCCAAATTAACGCAAGTTTGCGCGTGTTGATTCAATTAGAACTGGCAGTCTTACTCGCCTTAGAATATAAAGGTCTCTAATACCTCGCTCAGCTCAGATAGAATTTGTACAGCTGTAGAAGTAACGGTCAATTGCATAACATCATGTGAACTGATGACCATGTACATGGCTTGCGTCGGCTTGTCATCATGGTCAGCGGAAGGAGCCCCGACTCCATCTTGCGGCGCATCAACCACATCTATGGCACTGTCGCTCTCAACCTCCAAAGACGGGTCCATGAATGCCGTCTGGGTGGACTGGATGAACGTAGTCAAGGCCCCGTTGAAATCAAGATCACCTTCATCGTCAGTTGCTGGGCCGGTTATTCGTGGACGACGCTTTTGTTTCCTTCTTGGCCTGCAACGATAGATAAATTTTTTTCATCTCAGAAAGTGAAACATTTCCTTCGAGATGAACATTAGAGATAGCTGTCACAAATTATATTTACGTGCAAATGTGTGTTTAAAACAGCACTAATCTCCCATGTCACTTTGGCAACAACTTTCAACGAAAACGAATTCCCGAGAAAACTGACTTTTGGTACACAGATCCCTAAAATGGACTGGGGCTACAGAAAACCTTCCACGGACCCCTATTTTTGCACACCGGAAAGGAAGTTTGCTGTGCTACTTTCCACGATATGTGCTTATCAATCACAAAATTGTACCATGTTCGCCGTTCTGAAGACAAACGCCGTTTCCTTCTGAATGAAGATCTCTTTTGAGCCAAAGAGCGCAGACCAGAGTCTGTCGCATCTCCAGTTTGATGAGCATTCGTAACATCTCGCGGGGTATCGTCACACAATTCTGAATCTTTCGGGGAGAAACTTGAAACGTATCCATCGGCAAGGAAAAACTACAGGGAGAAAAAGCGTTCGCTTACATTTTTGCAACACAAAGTAATGGTCTTTCTACATGTTTGTTTACTCTTGCGAGAAAGAGGCCCACAACACTGCTCGGTCTCCCAAGAATAAACTGACTAGGTGAGTCGAGACTCTTCATGGATAGGATATTGGTGCATCATAGGTCTTGCTGTGATTCTTATAACCTAAATACTTGAGTCAGGGGTGATACAGTTAGGAGAAATGCTCAAGTTATCCTGGAGTTTTAAGGGTTAACAACATGGTCATTGCAAGCAGGAACACATCTAACTATCACCTTCAGTTGCACTTCCCACATGGTTTTCTGGTCTTCGACTACAACCGGCTCCAACAGTGGCTCCCAAACAGCAAGACACTCATTGTAGTAACAAACCTGTGCCGCTACATCTGCTTCAACTTTTAGCTGTTTTACAAGTGAAAAAGTAAAATAATCTTACAAGGGTTTCATTACAAACTTGTGACCGGCGGTGTACCGCCGCCTATAAGAACTCTTACTGCCATCTGTTGAGCCTGCGCAGACCCTCGTGTTTGGGTTTCGTTTTCGCCTTTCGGTTCGTTTCCGGGCACAGCTGCTTATTACTCCATTGGCAGCCCCTTAGGGATAAAGTCATTGAAACCCCTGAAGTTATCACACAGAGATTAAATGATTCAGTTACATTTTGAGCTCGCCTTTATTACATTGAATCCCACAAAACTCTTTAACAAGGGGGTCAAACATCAAAGCTGATAAGGACATGGTCCATCTCAGCTTCACATATTCTTTAACTTACCTGAGCAGACCAATCAAACACTTTGCCTGTCGCGCATGAGCGAATCAACAGCAGAGGAATATGGGCACCTTCAACCTCATTCACCAACACCAGTTGAACTTCTTTAATTGTCAAGCTGAGCTGAAAGTAAAAATGAACGTACATATAAATTTAGTTTTGAATATGTAAATGCGCCATTCAGAATGTGCATTCCCTCTTAGGCATCAACCCTTTAAATCTCAGAAGAGATTAACATGGAACTTCTCCCTATAATATCAATGCATTCTCCTGCAAACAGGTATTGAGAAAACTTCAACTTATCAGGTAGAAGTTGTTGCCTTGATCTAACACTGAATTCTCATAACTGATTTACAAGGAAATGTGTAGGAGCTAGAGGGGAGAATTAGTAATCAGATCTTGGGAGTTAAAGGGTTAGAGTCAAGATAAGTTTAGGTAAGATTACAGTAGACATACTAACCTTATCACCAGACGCTCTCCTTGTCACCAACTTGGGTTTGGCGTCTTCAATCGCTACAGAATAGAAATTGGAGTAAAATTTATCACATCTCTTTTTCACATACAAATATGTTAAAGAAGTTTTGGCCATAGCCTCTACCTCTGGAAAAATTATTTTAAAACAGAGTTATTTTTACTATTAGAATTTGTATGTATAAACAACGTAATTTTCTTACGCCAACCTTTTTTCTTATACCAATACTCAGCAGAGGCCGGTTTACTCTCCCACAAGTCAGCTGGCGCGCTAACCACCTCATCACCCACTGTCTGAACGCTTTCATCGACCTACCAATCAAAATAACAAATGGAATCGAACTCATACTTTCGGACTTTCCATGCTCGGGGATCTAGATGATAATCTAAGCCATTAGCTCGGCTCATCTCTTTATCAGGGAGATAAAATTTCTTACACGACTTTTTTGTCATAAATGTGATTTTCATATCCCTTGGAGTATTAATTCATTCTCTTTGGCAGATTGGGGCTATTTTCGTTGTTTGTTATCAGTTGGTTGATGAAAATGAAGAACCCGGCTTACTAGTGAAAAATGTACAACACTACACCGTTAGAATTATCATCTTCATTTATCGTCGATATTGACAACATCCCTGCCATCGAAGGTCGCGGGGTTTCCCTGGAACATAAAATGAATATTCCAGCCCGCTATAATTCAAAATTCCGCAATGCATTGCACCGATCATTTCGAAGCTTCAACACTCTTTCTTTCCCCCCGGCAAGGGGCAGATCTCCCAGAAAATTTCTCTGTCGTCCATGTCCGAAGGGTGGGGATTTTGAACCTTACCTGGATTGGATGGGAAATAAATTTGAACCGGAACTGTTACGTCTTTTCCACCAGAATTCACGTAGTTATCGTTATCGTGTTCAGAGGTAAAGAGTTCACTTTTGCGGCACTTGGGTGGCTCAGGGGGGCGGAAATTTGAATGGGGATTTGCCAAGGGGGGGGAGAGGGATGTTGAAGCTCCGTTTGAATAAAAGTTCAACTCATAAAGACAGCTACCTTTTGCTGTCCTGTTAATGCTGTAACCACGTTACTGACAGTAGTGAATAGTCCTGGAGAGAATTCGAACACCATTTCTTCTAATGTAATAGAGATGTCTTGACCACCCTCAGTTGAGGCCGGTGTCAAGTACTTAAATGACAACGAACAAGGGTTCAAAACCTGAAAAAAACAATTCCCATTTAAAAGTCGGTTATACAGCTGGATGCTAAAAAAAAGTTGAGTGCGTCTTTGTAGTTTGCTCAATAAAGGCTACAGTGTAGACACGAAAAGCCATTTGTGCGGACAAAAGGCAACTTCTATCGCCCACACTCGTTGCATCCCGCTATCTATTGACTTATCATCTCTACGCATATTCCAGTAAGTCTTCTTATTTATGCACTTAGAAATCAATCCTTAAAGATACGGGTTACGGTTAGAGAAGCAAAAACCTACTCATTAACGTTACCTTATAAGATGTCCTTTTAACATCAGGAAACTGTGCAGCTTGCATCTGGAGATTTTTCAAATCCGCTGAAAGACTCTGCTTCACTCCTTCCAAAGTGTAATCAAACTTCACTTTCGCCTAAATTTTTTGAAATGTTCATTCTATATATTAGTTTTTGTTTTCTTATTTTGCCAACATATGGAAGATTTATCAAATATCACAGCACAAACGAGAAAACGGTCACAAGAATGAAGAACTCTGTAACCATGTTACAAAGACGCAAGGTTTGATTTGCTACTGCGTTGCTTCAATCAAAGTGGTAGCCATTGAAAGAGAACGACTTCTTTAATCAAATAGTCATCGACTATGATTCTCATATAAGAAAACCGATAAAAAATCCCAGATAACAGAACTGTCAACAGACACTTAACCAAAAAGGTAAATGTAGAAAGCAAAGTAAGTTGGTCATAATAATTCAATCGCGATAACCTCTGTATCTTTGTCTATCTGATTACATAAATATCAAAATGCTCAAAAACAGCGACCAAAATCCAATCACCTGAACAATAAGCGCCTCGCTCTCTTTGTTTGTAGCGTCAGAAAGTAAGACAATGTTTGGATCTTCCACTACACCATGAACAACAATTTTCAGCTGCGTCTCTTGAGTAGGCGATGCTACAGCATCTACTTGATTAGGAGCATCAGTAGAAGTGACATCTCCACTTTCAGTCCTGTGTATCTGTGCATCCCTCCCCTCCCTGGGAGTTTCTGGGTCCCTAACACCTGAAGCATCCAGAGAGGTTTGACTGACTACTGAGACTTGTGGCTCTCGAGGATGATTCACGTCGGATGGCGGAATGGTGATGAACTCCAGTAAAAGGAACAAGAAAGGAAAGTTGACAAAAATGGTAGCGTTTTGCAAGGACACTTGGACTGAAAAAGATGAAAACAAAAAGGGAAAAGAAAAGAAATACATGAGAAAGTGAAATAACCAGTATGAGAGGAAAAATAAAATAGCAATGTTTTCGCAATCACAGATTTTGTCTTGGAACTTTCAAAAGTAGCAGTAAATTCGCCAAAAAGGAGATGCACGCGATTCCTTACTGCAGCACGAATTATGCAACTATGTAACTCATCAGTGGTTAAAACAACAATAGCAAACCTTTCATCTCCCCTGACGGTAACTGACAGAAAAGTACGTCACACATTTCTTTAGAGGATGAAGATGTTCGAGCTCCGGAGTGTGTCGCCATCTTTTTGTCCACTAACCTTTGGGAAAAAAGACACGAAACCTTCAAATTAGAGAGGTATTAACCCCACAGGTCCTACCCCTCCAGCGAACAAATGATGTACAGAGAAATTGCACACATTTTAGCAAGAAAATTATCGTTATGTAATCAAGACAGCACCATCTATAACCAGTTTATAATCTCCTAGCCAACTATCAAAGGAAACAGCGTAATTCCTTTGATGTCACAAACAAACTTAATTATCAAGCCTATATTCATTCACTTACCTAGGAAAAGCAGAAATTGTTCCTTCTCTGGCATCCTCGACAACACAGCCATTAAGTACACAGTGAATTTGAACAGAGCTGTCACTTGGCAAAACCACGGTAACTACACTTTCCTCCACATGACATAAACAGAGTTTTGTAGCTGGATCGCAGACCGACGACTGTGTATCAAATGGGTCCTGCAGTTGATAAAGTAAACCGAACCTCTATAAAGTAACTTTCAAATGAGTGCCGAAGGTAACTCGAGTTTGAATTGGTTTCATTTTGCACTCTGTGCACAACTAAACTAACAAATTTCAGTAAAAATATCAACGCTTAACTTACCAAAGGAGTCTCATTGTTGTACAGAATAAGACTAGCACCAGCAAGATCAAATGAAAACACCATTCTGTCCCACACATTTTTCGCAGTCTCCTCGGGTACACCAGGTTCTGTAAAGATAATCACTCTTTACATCGAACCGTTTCTAAGTAAGTTTCATAACTCGTCGACAGGGTAAAACATTCTTTCTGTTTTGAATTTTACGTTTATAACGATTGCTGACTTCATTTTTTTCTTTGTTCAGATCTTTTTCAGTTACTATCAACGTTTTTCGTCATTTTCAATCGCATGGAAAATAATCAATGCAAATAATATCATACCAGATGAGATATTTGTTACGGTAGACGGGTCAATACGTTCCTCTTGTTCCTCTGCCATGCTTTGATCAAGTCTCGTTTGGTCTGAAAAGCAAAAGAATGCAAAAAAAAAAGAAGTTGCATGGGGTTCCCACCTCCTGTAAGTTTCAAACAAGAACAATGTCTGCTTCACCTTAAAAGTCAATTTAGTACTAGACGATACTAGACGTGTTCGTACCTTCCAGTATCACACTTTCAGCTTCTTTCATATTTTCTTGAAAAAGTGTCGTGAGAACGTGGTAATCCTGTCGACCCAGATTCATCTGAAAACAAAGATTAAAAAAACAATTACCGACACAAATAACTTGCAAACTACAATTTCAACCAAGAAAGTGCATTGATAGAGACAGTGCGGCCGGCGGTAGTAAAAAAATTGACCACAGCCTTTAAATGACTGTGATGGGGTATCAAATAAAAATTCAATCGGAAAAATAAATACATCTTTTGATTAAGTCAAGTCCCCAGTAAGGATTTATACCCAGCCTTCCGATTGCCCAAAGGCGTTTTCAATTAACGAGCATCCGTTTTCGAGAAAGAAAATATTCTCTGTTCATTTTCTAAGGGAAAAAAAGCAAGGGTTAACCTTTTAACTCCTAGAGGCGAGTCACATGTAAATTCTCCATACAATATCGATACGTTATCCAGCAAACAGGTTATGAGAAGACTCGAATTTATCAAGTAGAAGTTGTAATCTTGATCTGACACCAAATTCTTGTTTTCCTTCAAGGGTTATAGAAAATATGCCATTCATAGTCAAAAAGTGTTCTTCAGAAGCAAACATCAAAAATAACACTAAACAGATTAAAGTAGTTGGGATGGTGAAATTTGAACAAAATTTAACATCTTTCGCAGTGGATTCTATATCTTCCTTTTTTTTCTTTTTGGGCAAAAGATACCAGAACATCATGGGGTATAGCGTGACGAGTGACCAGTCCACCTCAATTTATAGTCGAACCGTTGCCACCCATAGAGGAAATAACTACATCGTAAGACAAACAATAAAAATACCTTGACAAAGTCCAGAGTAGCTGAGCAATCTATGATTGGAATCTCGTTGCAGGAAGGCAATAGAGAACGCTTGATGTTTGCCTCTAGTTTTATTGGTTCAATGAGATGTCGCTTGATCACCGAAGACGAACTTGTATCCATCACACCTCTACGTAAAGAAGGAAGGCAATTTGGTAATAACTTTTCAGTACATTATAAAAGTTGTAAGGGTGTATTATCGTTTGAATAAAGGGGTAAGTTTCGAAATAAACTGTGGTGCTGCGTCGGTGGGAGAGTATAGCAGGTAATTCGGTGTTAACAACTGAGTTGAAAACGTAAATTAGCCACCGCGATTGCTCTGACGAAGGGCTAACGCTCGAAACGTCAGTTTTTTTACCCTTTACGGTGGCTAATTTACATTTTCAACTCAGTCGTTAACACTAAATTACCTGCTGTATTATCGTTTGGTTCACGACGAGATCACTTCGTACATGGATTGAGACGTTTGGACTGGGTACTGAAAGTCTTCTTTATCGCCTGAAGAAGACTTACGAAACGTCGCAATCCACATCGGAAACGACGACATCGTGAGACAGACGATAATATTTCATTACTATGAGTAACGTCATTTTTCTTTTCTGATATTTCATGTAGTCTTCTCAGGACAAAGTTCACCTTTATGCACATTGAATCTAAATGAGAAAACACCAATAGAACTCTATCCACTTGTAAAATCAATACCTAGCTGTTTCTCGTACATAACTGTTTATAAATTCCATCATCGCTATTTCTATTTTGAAGACCTTTATTAGCCAACATCATCACCATCTCACCTCGCTAATTGCAGAGATTGAAGAGACAATTCCATGATATCGAACACAGCCTCTTTGTTCTCGTCGTTTAGTGATGTAGAGAGAACATCAAATTCATTTTGAAGATCCAAATGTCCAAGATCAACAATAAGCATATCCGCTGAGCGAGAGTGACGTGGAATGATCACAAGAGGGGCACTGATGGCCACTTGTAAGCCGATGCGAGTTCCTTGACTATGGATGGACTCCACCTTAAATATCACATTTAATGGTACCTCAATAGGCAAAATACATCGCAAAATGCATCACAATTTTATTCGCCCAGACGAAGGGCAAACGTTAGAAACATCACCTTTAGAAAAACTTTACGGCGGCCAATTTTTATCATCAATTCAGTTGACAGAGCCAAATTATCTTGGAATATTCTCCAACAACGCAGCACCACAGTTACTTCAGCAACCTACTCCCTTATGCGTCCTGACAATAGCTTTGGATCAATGAAATTAGAAAATAAAATATTCCGGTCGAGGATCATGGACAAAAAGAAAAGGGAGAGATAATGTAGATGGGAAGGTTGAGGAGGGGAGGGAGGGTAATAATGCCAAGAGTGTGACAAAAAGACGAGGAGGAGACTGCGAAAGAGAACAGGGCTAAGGCGCTGTTGTCAATGCAACTCTAATAGAAACTTCAAACATGAAGTTACCTGTTCTGTAACTGCCCTTTGAGCTGTTTCTTGTACGTACTGAGTTGACTGAGGACTTGTTAAAGGCTCAACGAATTGCTTTGGAAAAGAAGCAATAGATGGAGTTAAAAAAAAGAGTACAGATAACATTTTTTCTAATACTACTACAGATGCATTCTTACTGGTGCCGAGCGCTGCTTTTCCACTTAAATAACGAAGTCTTATCGTTTGTCTCACTACTCACGAAAAGTTAAACGAAAAAACAGGGCTGTAAACCAGCAGCCAGTCGACCGCACAACTCACCAATACAGCTAAGATAAACATGCACCAATCACAGATGATCAAGGCCACTCAGCCAATCACAGTCTAGCATCGTGTTTTATACGGCTAAACGTAACTTGTCAACCTCACGGCATTGTTTTCCATTAAACTTACTTCTAACAATCCAATTTGTTCCGCCTAACTGATAACTGCCGCAACGTTTTGTTGCAGCAGCTCAATAGAGGAAATTTTTCTGCACAAAAAACTGAAGCACTCACCATCAATTCCGTTATGAATCGATACAAAAAGACGATGTTTATTTTCCCAATGTTTAACTCAAGGTTCCCATCCGGTCGTGTAAGGTCAGCAGGACTTGGGTCACTCTTGGGAAGATTTCCTTTGTTGAAATATTTAAACTGGAAGAGAGATACTTCATCATGAAGTTATCATATCAATTGTATAAGGTAAAGGTATTTCATTTGCATTGAAAACTGGCAACATTGCGATCACTTTTCCTTTAAGGAGAGCTTACATTGTAGCTCAAAAATCACGTAGTTTTATCACTGCAGTTGTAAAGATATGTTAAATTTTTTTCTTTCCCCTACGGTGGTAGATTCCAATGATACCTTGTCGAACACTGTCGAGAAATGTGTTAAGAACTCGACTTCGGGCGCCGCCATTTTGGACAACAAACTTAAGGTAACTCAGGTTTCTGGCCGCACACACAACAAACTCACAAATGTTTGACCACGATGCATAGTCTACATAAAAGCTTCTGACAAGAATTAATTTCAAAGACATCGCTACGAAGTGAAAAGAGGAAGTTAATCATACCTCGAAGTCAAAGACATTTTCATTCTCCACAGAGATAATCTGACGTTGCAAGTAAAGGAATAAATATTAAAATCACTGCTTTTCGTTACCGCAAAGCAATAATTAATAAAAAGGAAGTTCTAGGAATAACCTGTTAACCCTTAAACTTTTCATAGGGATAGTGTCCAAAAATTTCATCAGATCCTCACAGGAGTTATTCCCGCTTAATCCAAAAAAAAATTCAGTTGCATATGAAATCTTCAACCTGTGCTTCAATCATACCTTTACGAGCGTCCGAATGCATGCAGATGTGTAGCTAATTCTAATCATTTCTATCCCACAACACGTAAATATGTAATTGAGTTTACAAAACACAACATTGAAACCCTTATGCAGGTTGGAGAACACAATTATTCTCAGGATTCAACGTAAATATTACAAGGATTTGGCGTGTACTTTTGATAAATCTATATCCGATAGGTGTCTTTATATAGCTCATTTTTAACATAATGAAGTGTCCTTGGTTAGATTTTAACAATGAGGACAATGGGTGATCTCTATATGGACAGAATATAAATCTCATTGACATTTATTCCTAGACACACCAAATACTTAAGCAGCAAACAGCTTATTTAAGAAATTTTACCTTGGGATAATAGGTTTGGCTATTCAGGTCGACCACAGAGAGATCATTCTGTCTACAATGAAAAAATAAAGATGGAAAATAGTGTCACTCCACTGCAACGTGTATGTTATGGTTTATCAAGATAACTGCAATGCTTCACTGATACCTTTTTTTCCACAATGAAAATGGCAACGTGCAGAACCTAACCCAGCCCTTTCCCAACTTCGACTAAATCAATTTTCTTGACCCAAAGGCAATAACCCTAAACACCCTAACATCAATATGCATATTCTCCATACTGTTCTCTATACATTTCCTAAGGTGCTGATAAGGAGAATTTGTTCACCAGTCAAGAGCTTGTTTAGTTGGTGATCATTTCCTGTATTCTCGTGACCTTTATGTGTGATTCAGGGGTGGTATTGTAAGGAGAAAGTAGATGTTAGTCGCTCTTAGCAGTCAAAGGGTTAAGCAGTTAACAAAACAAGACTCACCTGGACTTTAAAACAATTCCGTCATCCCACAGAAGAAATTCTGCAGTTAAACCTGAAGTAGAACGTTAATTAGAGTTGCAAGGGTATGCCTACAAAGTGTTTTTCATAGGATCAAGGAGGTCAAATCAACCGCGACGATAAAAGCTAATTGTTGGAAGAAACTGTACTGCCATGTTGAACTTTATTTCTGTTAGAGACAATTGCGCCTGTCCTATGTAGTTAAAGGCCTTTTCCAGTCGGTAGCTTCTAGAGTTAATGGCAACTGAAATAAGATGTTGTGAACACGTACCTTGAACCTTGACTCTCGCCAGATTTTTATGGGAGATCCTGACAAGAACATCAACTTCTGACAGTTCGGCGTTCAACTTCAGGCTCACGACACTTTGTACTTTCTGCTCTGAATCAGTATTAATCGCACTGTCTGGCTTCTGAGCGCTTGAGGAGTCTCCTAAACTACAATTTAAAAAAAAAAAAGAGGAAAATTTTCGGTAAGTAAACAAAACTAAGTTGATATTGCATTTCAAGTGTAATTACTGTTTATGCGCTTCTGATGAAGGAAGTTTTAAGAAAGTTAAGAATAAGACGATGACTTTGGAGTAATTAAAAAAATAGCTTTCTTTCTTACTTTAATGATAAGACTAAAACAACTATACATTTAAACCACAAAGCGACACGGGAGAGTGTAATGGTTACCAGAGAAATTCTGGGCATTCGCTTTAAATGTTTCGTTAGTTGGCTTCTTTAGAAAGCACTAGCTGGAGAAACAAAAACCTGAGCATCTCTTTGCAAGAGCGTAAACAATTTACTATATTATTGAAAAAATAATGTATTGTTATCTTATTACTGGTCTATTAGAATAATTACGGTATCTGTATTGTGTTACCTCGACAGAAGAGCAAGGCCATGCATTTGCAAATCCATCAGAGCTTTTTGAAGACAATCTATTTTCAGCGTTGAAAAACTGACGTTTATTTGCTGCTCTACGGTGCGGAATGTCGATTTGAATTCTGGACATCTGGGATCAACCTTTGAAAAACAGTAAAAGTAATAATCTAGCATCTAACTCTTCTTCTGTGACAAAGTCTTATACATAAAGTACCATAATTTAACATGTGACCCGTACGGCCTTGCGAGAACTTTTACTATTGACAAACATTTCGAGATAGGAGAGGCACGGCCTGAAAACGCCGTCTAGCCCAGTGCAATGCGAACAGAAAGAATACAGGAGAGCGACAGTCATACGATACAATGCGTATTGACTGAGTCAGGTTTGGCAGGGCAGGAAAACATACAACCCATCAAGTAATTCCTGCCTTCCCAAAGAATGATGTTCAGTTAAAGTTTCTTATCTGGGCGTCATTTCACTCACCCTTTTGTACGAAACAGAAATAAGATCTGTATCCTGAGAGGAAGACAAAAATTTTACTGGCGAACCATCCGCACCTTAAAGAAACACAAAACATCAGAGTCCAGTTCTTCAAAGGGTGGATAACGCTATCCAACGGATAAATCACTATCCAGCGGATAACTGTTAACAAAACTTACTGCGTTATCCACCGGAGAGCGATTTATCCAGTGGAGAGCGTTATCTGCCCTTTGAACAACCGAGGCCAGGAGTAAAAATGTTTTACAAACACGACGGAGTCTTTTCACCGTCATTGCTTTTTACACAAAACTGCATATCATACTCTAGTTAAAGGATTTGCATTTCTAACGCGAACAGAGAAAATTTCCATTTCCTCACTGCATTTGTTAACGTCCATTTTTCCTATGGTCGTGTTTTGTGAGTAAGTATTGGTAACTCATGAAGCTACTCTAACAGTTAAGAGTACTACACGGATCTACAAAAGTCACTTCTACGTCTGCTAAACAATTCAAGCCAAATGAAGGATTGTAATTGAAACTCCGTCACCGGGCCAACAGCTATTTAATAACCCTTCTACCCTCAAGATCTAACAGAGACACAAAAAGTGAACCAAACATGTAATTTAATTGACATGTTTCCACCTATCTTTTCAAACACTTGGAATACCTTTGTTCAAATGATCGACGAGCTCAATAGCTCCAAGCTTTGCAGATGCATTGAGGATCCATGTTTCCATGGTGACAGTGGCACTCAAGTTGGTTGTTTCAAGAACCAAATATGGCTTACAGACACCATCAACAACTTTGGGCGAACTAACTTGAAACTAAAAAGGACCATACAGAAAAGGTAAATAAGAGCGGGAAAAGTCAGAACATACCTTTGTATTAAAGAGCCATTTATACGAGGAAATATCCTACAGCTAACGTAAAACGCAAGCGCAGCCTACATGAGCTCTCCCCTAAGTTGCCTTCGCCTAAATCCCCACTTATGTTGATTTCGACCGCTCTCGCCCCCCTCCCCTCCCCTCCCCTCAATTTCGAAGGTAAGCAAGTACAAGAAAACGCATGCGTGATGACACCTACGCCTGCACAGTGTGTCTTGCATAGGCGGCAACCAAGCGTCATCTTATTCATGCTCTTGGTTTCACGTTTTTAAGAAACCGTCGTTAGATCGTGAAAGCGTAAGCTCCCTTCTTATCTATGTCACGGCTTGTGAGAGTCGAGGCTTATTTTGCCAACTTTCCTTTAAATGAGACGAAACTTCCAGTGCGGTACTAACATGGGTAGTGCTTTTGAAGAATATCACTCACTCGCAGCCGACGCAAATACAAGGAGTGTACTTACGGTGCACTACCCACAAAAATATTGGAAAGGAGTAACAATAAACCCCCGTAGAAAAGGTACACTAATACAAACCTTATTCAGCGTGAAGAGACATTTAATATTTGTTACTTCATCCATAGACTTGGCATCAGTGTTGTCTGGAGGATCGTCCTTCTGTTCCTCCTCTTTCTTCATGTCTTCAGTTTTAGATGCAGGTGTACGTTCTTTAAAAAGATGACCAACAAGACACATCAAAAATAAAATTATGTTCACGAGCACTAGAGATTGAGCAAAATATTTTATTAAGTCGTAGAGAACACATTACAATTGTGTGAAGTTGTTTCATACTAAAAACTTTTACCTACAGCAGCAGTGAAAATACAATTGCACATTAGTCAAAAATGACACTTACCGTTCTGGCCTTCCAACAAATTATCGTTCAAAACCATCATCAACATCTGAAAATCATTCACTCCCAGGTTCATCTAGAAATAAAAATGAATTAAATTATATTCATTCTATTCATAATTTTTTTAATCCCATCTATCAAGACCGAACCAGAAAAGTTGTCAAAGGAAAGCTTGTCAAGGAAATCTTGCCTGTAAAAGGCGCTTTTCAATAAACTGCGGGATACACAGTAATATCCTGTGAATGGCCAGATGTTTACCTTAAACAGCTCCAAACTCCCCTCTATTTCAATCAAAGGGAGATCGCTCTTATCCAGCCCCAGTCTTCTCTTTACAATGACTTTCAACTCGACTGGTTCAATCAAATACTCACTGAGATGTTTTTCCACTTGAGAATAGCTAAGTAACAGAAAAATATGGAATCAAAAGAATCATGTTTATTCGAAGGATACAAGAAAGTTTATTAATATAGCACCACACGAGTAAAATGTGAAAAGTATGAGCTCAACTTAAGCCCAGTTTCCAGATATCGCTCGGGTCGTCCCAATCATTCTCAAAACTGTGGAATGGAGAGATAAGGACCACGCACTAGAACTATATGGTAAAATAAATTTGAGGAGTGATATAAAATTGATTTCATAGATGCCAATCGTAAGCCAAAACGTCCGTAACTTTATGTTTCCTGGTACACATTTACGAAAAATACGAAGAGCGATAAATTTTAAATCTTAATCTTTGTACACTAGATTGAATTTTAACGACTATTTCTCAAAGAAATATTCAATGAGAAACATACCCAGAGGCTTGAAATGAACTGAATCGTACATCCATGCGATCAAGAAGTCCATATTGAGATGAGTTGATTATAGAATTACTAACATGCAATTGTCCGAGGTCTGCAACGAGTTTTTCGCTCGACCTTGAATTGCAAGGGATGATGATCTGTGGTGCATTTACAAAAATGTTCAATCCAATCTTAGCTCCCTGTTTTTGGATGTGCTGAACCTAAAAAGCAAGTGAGAATAGGCCAGTGAGCCAAATAGCACCGATACCGAACAGGTGACCAGTTACAAACAGCCCAAAGACTGTAAGCCGGAATACATGCAGCCTAAGATATTTCTTCCATTGCTGATTAAGCTACAAGGCAACAAGCAGCCGCTATTAATTTTGCAGAACTGTGAAGCAAACCATTGAGTGAGAATGAAAAAACTGAAACTATTTCAACATGTACGAGTCTGCGACCGCTCTCAAAAACAAAAAGATCAAATGCAGATCACAGTCGCCAAATACTATCTAGTAGAAGTTGTTAACCCTTTAACTCCCATTAGTGACGAAGACAGAATATCTCCTAACAGTATCAATACGATATCAAGCAGATAAGTGGTGAGAATAAAGAAATATATTAATTTGGGGATAATTGGTTGATCCACTACTAAATTCTCTGAACTAACATTATAAGGATTATATGGTTGACATTAGAGAGAATTACAAATTTGATCTGGGAGTTAAAGAGTTAACGTTGTTGACGTTTTTGCTATCGTTCTTGTCATTGGTTTTTTGACCGCACGTTGTTAATTATGGGTTTCACCTGGTTCAGAACTGCTTTCTGGGTTACTTCCTGGGCATATGCAACTGTTTCTGGACTTGCAATTGCTTGAAGAAAATTCTGAAACCAGGAGAGAAGAGAAGACTGTGTGTTTGCCTTCGTTATTCATCCACACAAGTTCCACAAAGGATTCATATACGTAAATCTAACTTGAGGCAGAAACATCTCACTAACCTGAAGATGAGCTACAAAATAGCCAAGGAATACAAATCGGAGTTTTCCAAGTTTTACGTTGACTGAGAAATCGAGAGCTGTCGGATCCTGGTCGGCAATGGCTCCTTGTAAGGACTTGTTGAATATGGTTACCTTAACGTTGTACAAAAAAAAAGGAAAAAAATTCGGGTCATAATACTCTTTATCGATACGTTGTTAAACTTTCAACCTGTATCGGTAGCTGTGCCAAAAAAATGTTTGAAGGGATATTCAACTAACCTTGCAGTCAAAAACTGTGTTATCCGCCAAGTCTAAAATCTGTTTAATGGATGAAAAAATTCATACATCTACAGTCTGATTCTATTGAAAAGTGTGTATGAGTTACAACAAATAATTTTTTTAATAGCAAGTGGCACCTTAATTCCTTTGCATCCATAGCCAGCCACCTTTGGAATATTTTACCAAGCAATGCTAGAATTGCTGGTAATGTGAATACTTTTAGAAGTCTAATAGACAAATTCAACCTTGTACCGTTTATTTATCGCTAAGCACCATAAAAGGAATTTGTTAATGTGCCCTGCACATGATTGTTTATAGTCTTTTATACTTATGTAATTTTCATTATTTTCAGGATTTTGTAATTGCACGTGCGCATTGTAAATGAGTATACTGAATGCTCCTTGGCGTTATGTGAATAAATAAACTATCTATCTATCTATCTAATAATAACTACAAGTATCAAAAATGAAGTATCCCCTACAAGAGAAGGCATCAAAATCGTCTGTCTAACTGTTGTTATGCTAGAGCAGTTTTCAATTGTGTCGAAAGTATTTCATGATTGATTAAGTTTTGCATAACCTCGCTCTGTGATTAGTCCATAAAACGCACATCACCTTCTCAACCAATCGGATTCACAATTAAAATTATTCGTGATTTGGGCACTTGCGTTTCATATCTCATCGGCTGACGACGACGTCGACCTTCGTTCTAACTGGCAATTGAGAATACTTTGGTTTTGGTTTTTCGAAACTCAACTGAAAACTGTCGCCTCTAAATAGACAAGTTCAAACAACTCAATCTTACCTGAGGATACAACGTTCCGTCTGTAAGATCTTTAATATCCAAGTCTTTCAACCTGGAAAACAAAAATGATCGTTATACCTAAACAGTTTTGTTCCTTTGTTTCCCAACACTGGTAGGAAACTTAAAACCGGGAAATTAAGGTAAAATTTGAATCCGATATAAATATGAACGACAACAATTGCAAATCACATCTGCTACTCTCTCGCAACAAAAAAATTGCCATTTTTTGAGACGTTTCGTGGCAGAGATAGGAAACTGAAAACTTATTTCTTCTAGTGGAAAGGCGAGATTTATCTAGTACAGTAATAAAATTTGTATTTCTTAATAGCTGTCGTGATTAACGCGAGGCCTATCTTAAGTTTTTACTCTCGTAAAAAAGGAAAAGAGTGAGACCTCCCATACATGTCCAACACACCCAATCTGACTCGTTTCTGACTTCTGGCAGGTCGACTCGAAGGCTGCCTTAGACGAATCTACTCAATTTGGGTGTATTGGACAACCTTCAGACTTTCGAGGACAATTGGTGCACTCACTTGGTTGTTATGTTCACCTCAGCGGGAACTACGTCTACGCTGACATCAAGACCTGTTCGCCAAAAAAAAACAATCTGAGGTGAGTAAATCTTCCGCCTCAAGAAATATCCATAAGAAACAGTGAGGACAGAAGCTACGAACCTGTGACATCCATCTTTCCAACATGGCGATCCATTGAACTGAGAATTACTGTAACTTCTTCTATTTTTGCCACAATCTTAAAGTTGACAACATCAGTATCACTTTGAGCCTTCTTTTCTTCATCTACACCTTTCACAAGTTCTATAAAACAACAGAACGGAATTTATTCCAAAGCATGTCTACCCAAGCACCGATTTTGACAGAAGCATTAACAGCCCGGGGCGACTTTTGGAATGAATGTCTTAAAAACCACAACTCAAAAAGCAGTCACAGTGGCTGGTCAAAGCATAGGCTAACATTACATTAAAGAACTTTTAGGGGCGAGAAAACACAAGTAACTAAGGCTTGAGTTTGTTTTTGACATCTTATTGGTTAAGCAGATAGCACCACTGCGATTAAGCAGTCACAGGGCATAGTAAAAAAGAACATAGCAGCCCAGGATTAATTGTTCTATTAATGTTAGAGCAATACCTCTGCCAACCGAGCCATCGGGGTGATCTTCCTCCATGATTGTCTCCAGAAACCGCTGAGGAATAGTTGGCCACTCAGGTTCGCTGCAAAGCCCATATAGAAATCAATAACTAATGGTGTGTGATTTCACATTTGATTTCAGACCAAAATTGCAAGACACGAAGTTCAATTGCCACTTTACTTCATCCACTTTCATATCACCCATTATTGTAATTAATCTGTAAGAAGCTGCAAAAGCTGCAAAATTCGCCTCAATGTTTTTTTCTTTTAGATATTTTATCTGAGCCATTTAAATAAAAATGAAGGTATTTTCGAAAATCTTTTTAACTCAAGCAAAAAAAGGTATTTCGATACTAGAGTGTTTTAACACTTGTAAGTGCATTTAAAACTGCTGGCCCTACAGTTACCTTTGAAACAGACTCAGGACAAATATTTGGAAACTTGCAATAGCTTCCTGTTTGGCTGTCATTTTTAACGAGCTGAACCTCATTTCAATCAATTGCTCAATTGACTGAAACTTTTCTTTGAACTCTGGGCCTGATGGATCAGCCTAAAAAAAATTCAATGCAAAAAAACCAATACGATAATCAGCATCTTATATTATGAGCGCTACATACACAGTAAACTTCGAGGAGTTTACTTGGAGCAAGTTAGAGAACACTTGCGTCTCTTTTTTAAAACAAAATTAAAGGTGAATTACAAGTATGCTATAAAAATCAATCGAAAATGATCTTCTGTGGTGCTAACAGTTCGACTTAAGCACTGCCATTTTGAAAACCTCTGTAACCTGGCCGCTGATGAAAATTCTAAACGCAAGGTTCTCAAACAGCTACTGCTGTACTCATCAGAAAAAATATATTTTATTGAAAAGGAAAATGCCTCTTCTTGTGTCTCCTTTTTTTTAAACAGGTCGGTTTGAGAACGACAAGAAAAGAGGCGATAATCTGTGATGTCACTAGTAAGCGGCCTAGTTGCTCAGTACGACCGCGAATTTAAAGCCAATTTAGGGGAAGATCAGGTTACTCTTTAAAATCTACGTGGTGAGTCATAATTTCATTTAAACTTTTTAACGGCAGCGATAGACAAAATTAGATGTGTTCTGAAGCGAAGCTCCCACTACAAGAACAACAATGAAACTTAGAATTTACCTTGACGTAACTGACAGTAATCCAGTCATCTATGGCTGACGAATTCAACACGCAAAGGTTGCTACCATCAACATCTGTATCCGGGAAGAAAGAATCATAGAATTGTATTTCAAGTTATTTAAGTGTATACGTCAGAAGATTAGTTTTTTCATGGCCGATTTTCAACTATTTCATTGGATTATCAACTGACAACCTCTCATGCTTGTTGAGTTGAGCTGCATGGGTGATATCTCGCTCTGCGCTGAGTCCTTCGTTAGCTATTTACTACCTCATATCCACCACGACTACATAAAATAATAATTTTCTTAAAGTTCACTTAAAAAAAAGAAAAAAGAAAGAAAGCAACTAAAAGTCTTCTACCTTTCCAGTGGTTATCAAGGAGCTGCATAAACCCAATTTTAACTTTGGCATGAATGTCCCACGAATGAACGACCAAATCTGTGCCAACATCCCGTATTTCCAGAGATAAATATGGATTACCAACAGCTTTTTGTTCATCTGCTTTGTCCACAGTGATAAGAAGCTGAAAAAAGCCAGGTTACATTTAGATGAACTCCACATAAAACTGTAGCGAGTAGAGTACATAAACATTGTCAACTGTGCTTTTTGTCTTTGTTTTTTTCCGTAGATTTGTTTTTGCTTGTTTGATTGCTTTTTCTTTTTTGTTCGCGTTTCTTTTGCCTTTTTGTGTTGTTTTTTGTCTTGTTTGAGATGCTTTGAGTTCTTATCAAAATGTCCCATAATAACTATTACCATAGTACCTTTTGAAGTGTCGAAGTCGAGGCATGTGCATAAACTATCGTGAAACGAAAAGGCTCCTTCTTCGTTAACTTCTATATACACGAGGTCGCCTCGCGAAAACAGATAGTGAATTTGTCGTAAAATAAAGTTTGTTATAGTGAAAATGGAATAACCCCGAAAATACCTTCTCAATAGTGAAATCTCCTGCTAATTTGATCTTGTCGACTTCATGCGCTTCAACGGGATGAATGTGGCCATCCTCAGGACTGAATGAATCAAAATGTGTAATCGTGACATATCAAAAATACAAAAATTTTACCCGAAGAGTGCGTTTTTGATTGGTTAATTCAAAGTCTGCAAAACTATAAATTTCCTTCAATTCTCCTTTTTCCTTTCTACCTCAATCTTTCTTTTTTTTTTTTTTTTTTTTTGACTCGTAGTATAACCCACCATACCACGAAATTACCATTCTGCAAGCATGACTCATATGACCAAACTCAAGTTTTTCCTAGAAATATGTAACTAAACATGTCACTCTTGGCTAGGAATGGTTAGCTTTAAAAGCTTTTTAAAAACTCACTCTTTGATGATACCAAAACTCTTTTTCGTTTGTTTCTTCAGCTGAAAATTGTATCCAATGCCCAATCATTTTATATCATACAAGAGACGTTAAGGAAACAAATTACTTTCCGGCCTTATCAGAACCAATGGCAAACCTAATGACCCACCTTTCTTCTGGAAGGTACTCTTGTGCGTCATGCCACTGAACGTCTTCATCTGGCGAAAATTAAATCAAGACAACCGAAATTAAGGTCACATGAAGCATAGCATAACAGTTGACGCAAATACTTCGCCAACCATGTTATACCGAATGTAAAATGATCAGTGTCTATTACCTTCAAAGGGGGCAAGTTTCTAAAGAGACTGTTGTGCTGTGTCGGTGCGAGAGTATAACAGGGTATTTAGTATTATCAGTTGAGTTGATAACGTAAATTGGCCACCGTAAAGAGTTTCAAAGCTGACGTTTCGAGCGTAAGCCCTTCATTAGGGCGCAAAATTACTCTATTACCTTCACTACTATCCAATCGAGTAACCATGGCGTCTTTAAACAAAGCTTCGAGATCGCTCGCTTCCTCTAAAGAAAGAGTTGACGAGCTGTGTCTCCATTCAGTCTGGTAACAGATCAGATTTTAATGTCAATAAAAAAGAACTCGAGTCAAAGTTGCATTTATTCGAATAACGTGCTGCTTGTTACGGTTTACATACATTATATACACTGTCAAGTGTGCTGCGCTTGGCTTAACAGGTTGCGTGCTGGTCCCGAAAAACCTGAGTTCAACTTGTCTTATTTTGAATAATGTCCTCTCTTGCTGAGGTTTTAGATACACTTGACTACGAGCAGCCATACTTTTCGACAAGGTCCGTCCCACGAGTCGGAAAAAAAATAGCGAGTAAAAGATTGACGTTAGCGCGCAGACCTATGGGAGTAAGGCGCATGAAAACTGATGTACATCAGTGATCTGATTTGTCGGGCACTCATTTCATGACAACACCGATATTGGGAACAAACAATCAAATGATCAATTCCATCGAGAGACCCCGTTATGATATTAAAATCGATGTTGCCTACCTTCGATTTGACATCAGCGCGCTTTTCTTCCAGTAACACAGGTTGCTGCACTCCAAACGGTAAGTGATCTAAGAACTTTGTGAAAAACTTGAAGATTAGTAGCTACAATGCTCTTCATGACAGAAAATAACACAAGGAAAACGGTCAAATAAGTCAAATTGGTGAAACTACATGTACGAAATGACAATTTTATACCTTCATCAGCATCTTGTATTTTTCATCTGATAACTTTAAATGCAACGATGGAAGGACCGATGATACTTTAAACCTGAAAAAAAAAATCGAACATTCAGTTTTCGGGCGCTGAAGCAGAATTAACTATCTAAAGCAGCAAGGAGAATTTGGTAGCATGACCTTAGAGTTCCTTACATCATTTGAATGCCATGTTACTGGATTCAAATACAAGGAACTTGTTAGCACCTCACTCCCTGTGTACCAAGAAACACCTACATATGCTTAGACAATTTGCTCATGTGATGGTTTAGTCTGACCGTTCGCCGAGTGAGTGTGGTCCTGAGAAGGACTGTTGTCGGTTGTGGTGACTGACGTTTCGATGACCTGAACGGAAGTCATCAACAGTGGAAGTCAACAACAGCGGAAGTCAACAACAGCCCTTCTCAAAACTACAATCACTCGGACAATCAGACTACACTATACACTTAATGTATGGTCCCGAGGGAAACAGTTACTTTTGTTTTCCCGAGAGTCCTGATCTTTCCCGAGACGAAGTGCTTTATTGTATATTTAGACTTTCCCTTAAACAACCATATGGCAAAAACATGCTGTTGTATTCGGCGCGCAGGCAACAACTGCGCAATTGTATCTCGGTCGGGATACATTTGAATTTGATCAAGGGCACGTGACCAAGAATCAACCAATCACGGTGCTCGTTTTGTTGAGTGAAAGTCTAGGCATATAACACTATCACATGTTACCCCGGGTTCAAACCATTTACTGCACAATTTACTCACTCTGGAAGTTGTAGATTATCAGTCGTAATGCTTTTCTGTAACTTCATTTTAAGAGCAGTGGAGGGTAAAATGTGATGAGGTGAACTTGAGACACTTTGCATTGATTCCCACTTCACATCTTCAGAAAAAACACGTTAAAAAAGTTACAAATCCAATCTTATTAATGATAAAATTAGCTACTTTGCTCAAGGCAGAAGTGCGCAAAAATGTATCAAAGGTCAAAAACACTGAATCACATACCCTTGTTAAAAATCATAACTTGAACATCACCCAAAGTCATCTCAAACTTGTCATAGAACATCTCCTCTAATTCATGTTCAGTCGCTGTCTGTTAGAAAGAATATTGAAAGGATCTGTTGCAAAATATCACAATTCACAGTGCAAACTCTAAGTACATTCCCTGCCCAGGATTCAACAAAACTACAGGTGCATCAGTAATCAGTATAGGTGATACTTACTCTGACACTTGTGTCCCGAGATGCCAAGTTACTGACCACCTTCAGATGTCCCAAGTCAACAGCAAGAACACTTCCATCCCTGAAAAAGTGATTGAAACAAAAAGCGCACCTGATTGATAGGGGAAAAGAAACGGTGTACCTCAGAAAAGAATGTCGTATTTAAAAGAGAAACCTGCAAGGCCCGAGGCCTCAACAGAAACCCTAAATTTCTTGAAATAACCAGCGCAATTCTGGAACGTCATGCATGTGTGGTTTAAGTCACATAGTTTTTTAAAAAATATGGGGAAGAAAGATAATTGTTAATAACACCTGAAGACAAATTTCGAACGGTTAGGCTACACTGCAGAATTGGCTGAAAAACGCGATAAATGGTAAATTTCCATCTACGCTTTTCAGGAGCAGTAAAGATAAGGACCAAGCAACTCCCTTAAATCTTACCGACACCGTTAAACTTAAGCTATTAACAGAATTAAATGTAACCAGCGAGGTCCATTATTTTTCCTCTGGATCGTGTTGCATTCTCCAATTAGGTAGTACCTTTGCAGAGTTCCATATTCAGGAATTACCACGAATGGCGATCTCACATCTAAATCAAGGTATGTAACCTTCAAGAAACAAAATCTATGAGAAGCCATTCTTTCACAATAAATTTCAGTGCAAGACGCAGCCTGAATTAAATTACAAAGTACATAATGAAAAGAAGAACGTTATTGATCTCTTTCTCTCTGCATTAACATTTATGGGACAACAATGATAGTAGATTCCTTCGAGGGGTTACAGGTCAGGATGTGCTATTAAAATCATTTTATCACAAACTAGGATTCTTTTTAAAGTCCACTCGTTTCGTTAGAGCAGTAACACCAAATAAGACCACGAGACAAGCTTCAAACAGATCGCAAAGGAAAGGGAGTTGAAATATATAGGATAGATAGTTGGTAAATAAAAGAAAATTCCTCTCAAATCAGTATATTGAAAAGAAAAACATCTATGTGTTGATCATCAAGTAGCTTAACAAAATATTTCCTTCTTAACCTCGTGCTGAGTTATCGCGTACTCCAAACCCGCGCGGGTCCACCGTCTCAGGTCCTGAAGCTTGCTGGCTGCTGCCTCCCCAAGCCTGAGTAAGCATGGTTCAAGCATCTCAATAAATGGTACTTTAACAAGGAAATAAACAGCACTATAAAGCTACTTGTTAGCGTGTGGACTGAACCAAATACACATGGACGTGGCCTTGCTTGCCTGAGAGCTCTCTAAACCTCGGTGATGCAGCATCAGACAAGTAATCGTAAAATCGAGGTTTTAATCCTCCCTGAAGATGAGTAATATTTCTATGCTTCACGCTTGTATAAATTAACTCAATTTCTGTCATCACCATCAATACAATTCTTGCTTTGATTACAATTTAACACAAATCACAGGAGCATAGCATGAAGATTGAAAACGAAAGTTTACTGTAAGCAGAAAGCCCCTCAGTAAAATTTGACGAGCTAAAACCAAGTTTGAACTGCTAAGATAACACAAATACCACAGCAAACCGTGGCAGATCACCTTGCTAAATGGGAATAATAAGAACAGTAACTAGTAGAAGTACATTAGACATTTTCTCGTGGTATACATTGATGAAAAGAAATCACTTACTCCTGAAACTTTGAGTTTTCTGGCATGTAGAAGAATGCGATTATTTTATCAATGGTGTGCTGAAAGAAAAAATATAAAGGAGTTGACCTTCGAGTCAAATCGTATTTTTCCTTCCCTTGGGTGCCAAGTGTGAAGAATGCCGGAACAAGTGGCTTACAACATTCAATGGATACAATATGCCAGCCCTAATTTGACCAAGATGAATAAACGCTCTCAATTATTTCGAGGTTATTGATATGTATATATGAGAAATACAGTGTAAAGTTATATTCTGCATTCATGAGAGACTCATCGCATGGCTTCCGAAGCTTCTGTGCATCTATGTTTCTGTAGCGTGAAAAAACTAATATCAATACTACTTTGGTGTGCTTCTATATGGCAAGTTAATCCTTAGCGTTTCATTAGCGTTTTTTCTGCCCCATTTGGCCATTACTTAATTATGCTCTTAGACTAAGAGAAGCTCTGTGAGAGTTACACAACACAGCGACTCTGGATGTGGCTCACATCAAGACTATTCGATGCAGATTCCATGGCATCACACCTAAAACTACCATGTTCCCACAGATTTAAATCGTATAAGATTAAAAAAATCAATTCTATGTGAGATATTGCATCACAAAGTCAACTTCAAACAAACGCAAGAAGGCAACATCAAGTTAAAATTTCGAAAATCATTTCTTCAACAACCTACCGCATCATACACAGCCTGAACGGGCTCCACCTTCAGGGATACTGCATAGTCTGCTTTCAATTCAAGAGGCTTAGTTTCCAATGTACATTGCACTAGAGCTGTTCCATATCCTAAATCAAAACCAAAGAACAATAAAATAAGGGATCGCCACTTTTCAGGGAATGTCACTCAAATTCAAAGGCCGTAAAACATTTTTAATGTGATTTCACACTCACCGTCAAGGGTGCTCTTGGATGAAACAAGAATAAGCTGGTTTTCCGTAGCTTCTTCTGAATATCCAAGCATCTTGAATTTGTTAACCTTACCATGAAACCTAAATCCCAAACGACAATATTCGTTGACTATATTTCACGCATTCATTTCCTGCAGGGCTTCTCTCTAAACATACTTCGACGAATTTCAAAGATCTCGCAGAGATCATTGAAATTCACAGGAACCGACAAGACCTTGTACATGTAAGTGTTATTTCATAGACATTTATGAAAAGCCTAAGGTTCCTACCTCTCCTCTGCAATATGATTGAGACCGGCAGAAAAAATAATGCTATGCCCACATAAATTGGTGACAAAAGTAGCAGTTAAATTCCGATAGCTGGGACCATTAAGAGGGATAAAAACATTGGTAACGTTTATCGAGAGTAAAATTATAGAGAAAGTGATACCATTAGAGGCAAGAATCGTTTCTGCAATGGTTAGAGAAATCGTTGACGTTTTTGCTTTTTAGGATGCATGGTAACTCACCGAAAGGCTCCCTGAGCCGGCCTGTGTTCTAAAGTTGCATCAAATCCTTCAGTATCCAGCTGAGCTATTTTACTGAAATGAAATACGACATGACAAATGGTATAACAGGACAGTTTACCAATGAAAAAGTGTATTGATCCAGTAGAGATAGCAAAGTGACTCACCAATTTGTTGCGTCCAAGAGTTCAAAAGTACATTTGTCCAGGTTGAAGGTAATCCTTGACTTAATGAACTGCAACCCGTCGAGAAGAGTGATATGTGTGAAAAACGTAAACATTAAGACGTACATGTATTTTTCAAAGTTAGTGATAATTTTCCATGTTTCCTTTCTATTCCGCCTAACGTAAATAACTAGATCATTACCGGTTTCGAAGATTGATGGATCAAATAGAGAGACCAAGATTGAGACAACAAAAGGGGGTGGAAATAAAAGAAGGGGAGGAAGAGGGAACGAGAAGAAAGGTGAGAAAAGGGGAAAGAGGAGAGATGATGAGAAAAAAAAAGGGGAGAACAAGGAGGAAGAAGAATGAATAAAAAGGGAATGAGGACTAGGAGGAGGGGTAAGACGTAGTGGGGGGGGGGGGGAGATGGCATGGAGAAAATGAATGAGAGAGGGAGGAATTTGTAGGACGTGATTAAAGAAGAGGTGGGAGGAGGGGCAGGGAGAGGAGAAGGGGTGGAGGAAGATGTGGTGATGGTAAAGAAGCAAGGGTAAGGAAGATAACGAGGGGAGGAGATAGGTTGAGAGGAGGAATACCATAAGGAAAGGGGATGAGGAGAGAAAAACGAGGAAAGAGATACAGGAAGAGGAGCAGAGGAGGGAAAAAGTAAAGGGGCATATTGGAAATAGAGGAGGTGTGGAATGCAGTAGTTGCTAACATATAAAGGATGTAAAGAAATTATAAAACATCACAGTAGCATTACCTCTGTAGGATATTTCACCCGCACACTTTCATTGTAATCAATTGCTTTGTACAACTTTTCCTTTTCCTCAACAGAAAGAGCTGCAACTGAGAATTTTGACCAAATGTCCTCCTCTATAGAAAGTTAGGTGGAAGAATATTTGTTATTCAATGTTTCTCCACTAAGTTGTCCAAAAAAGATGCTTTCAAGAATTTTCATCAAATGTAAAAAAAAACTCAAAAGGGTATTTGAATGAGTGGTAGTGAAACAATAAAAAAAATTACAATTTCAAGAAAAATTGAAAAATAAGCTTTTCAGGGCCTTCAGTGATCTGAGAACCTCATAAGCAAGCCAACATCTTCAAAAGTAGTCTTAAAACATATCAAATGCAGATTTCACACAAAATTGTTCATTACTGTTTTTGTTATAATATAATCAGAAAAAATGCATTGTAAACTAGTCTCTCCATACCTTGTTCCTCTCGTTTCATGACTCCTTCATAGTCAGTGGAGCTTCCAGACCCAATACCCAACCACAACCACCAGGGATTTGACTTCTTTTTTTTGTTTGGATTAAACCTTTGACTTGGAGGAACCTTCAGAATAAGGAAAAAGATAAACTCCCTCAATGAAAAATCTTAGAGCACTGCAAACTTCCAAAGATAGATAAGATAAGCCTTTATGGAAAGTCAAGAGGGCCCAAGTGGCCCATGGGGTTATTTACAAGCACAAATAACTAATTAACTCTCTTGAGTGACCAAGACATAATTTATCCTTACATTATTGATACAACAAGCATACAAGGGATGAGAATAAAGAAAAATATTAATAATTTGGAGGATTGTTGATTGATCCAAAACCAAATTCTCACCTGGATGGGATGCTAGTCCATCGCAGGGTTACCCCCAGCATATTTGCTGGTACCCATTTGTACACCTGGGTGAAGAGAAGCACTGTGAGAGTAAAGTGTCTCGCCTAAGAACACAACACAATGACCCCGGCCAGGGCTCGAACCCAGACCACTCGATCCGGAGTCAAGCGCACTAACCATGAGGCCACCACCATCTGAGACCTTTGTTATACATCTTATTCTCATTTTGTAAAGAAATGCATAACAGTGTGTGCTTAGCCCCCATATTACATTACATGTATATGCAAGCAACATTACTTGTTATGAGAAACCTACTTCTATTTCTGCATGTCTCCTTGCAATCAAAATACTTGGAATATCAAGTTGATCTTCCAACGACTAACAGAAAGTAGATAAATAATACTGTAAGTACAAATGCTACTGAGGAATCACCACTAAACAATAAAAGTCATAACAAATTACTAGATAAATGCAAAACCCTCAAAGTGTATACCTGAATGTTATTTCTAACGGAAGACTGTTCATCCTCATTTAAACCTTTTAACTTTCTCTCCCAAAGGTGCTTATACAAATGATACTTTCTCCTAAATAGAGGAAGACATGGATAGTAATCAATACATTTATGCAGTAGAAATAGAGCTACACATATTAACAGTAAAAGGTTAACTTTATTATTTATTTAATTTATTATTAGTCAATGATGCAGTTTAAATTTCAAGTCCAAAGTAATGCTATATTGCATTGGTTGCTTGTGATTTACCACATGGAGTGATTCCTGCAGAACATTCACACCACCTGTCATGACTTAGTCACTCATGTTTTCAAACTTTTTTTCCCTTTCAATCAGTTCATTGCATTGACTTAAATTCTCTTCATGATTAAGTTCCCACTTCAGACTGACCCTTGTGATATAATTTGGTTTCAGTTCTACTCAAAGGATTATTGAGCTCTTGACATCCATGTACCCTAATTACACTCTTGCATAATCTTCAGCGATCTTTCCTAGACTAAAACAAAATACATTCAATCCACTAAAGATCTCAGTTCTACTCAAAGGATTATTGAGCTCTTGACATCCATGTACCCTAATTACACTCTTGCATAATCTTCAGTGATCTTTCCTAGACTAAAGCAAAATACATTCAATCTGCTATAGAACCACCTGACCCTAGTAAGTGACCTCCCCCTTAAATTTTCCTGATGAGGGTTTCATTTTTTTTTTTACTTGAACCCTGATTGCTATATATTCCCAGGCCATTACATTAAGGGGCTCAACTGTAAATCATGAAACTTGATAAAAATAAAACTTAAAAAAGAAAAAAAGCCAAGAATTTGATTACAAAGTTTCTCCTTGTTATCATTTACATTTACCTGTGCTCCTTTATGCGATCCCATGACCAGCATCTAATTTTCTCCTCACAAATAGCAGTGTATGCATATTTCCACCTGCAAGATTGTAAAAGAAAATAAATGCACCCCTACTGATAATGTTGTTAAAATTCACATCTGCTCAGAGAACTTAATTATTAATCCGCCGATTAATCCGAGTGAAGTTCTAGCAAAAAAATGCCAATTGCCTCTTTTTCCCTTTCTGTTCTTGAAAAATGTTTCTTAACACAAACAACAAACAGTTTGTGGATTATCATCATTTCATTTTCTACATATATTTGATTTCAGGCAAAACAAGGTGCCACTGCCTTCTCTGAACCTTTATTCATAATTCTCCTATCTTTTATTTTCATTGATATGGGTAAACACACTTTTTCTCCATGAGAATAACAATTATAATAATTCCAGCTTGAAGTACAGAAAATTTTTGATTAGGCTTTTGATGCCTTGGGTTCATAAGGTTTAAAGAATAAAATGATTTATATGTTCAGGAAAACAGGCAAACAGAACAAAGATGCTTGGAGAGTGGGGGATTTACAAGGATTATTTTCAATTCTGACTGAAATTTACAGAAATGTATAACAACAGTGTACATGATTCTTAGACCCAGAAAGAAGAGTTTACCATGCGGCTGGATCTCTCCTCACTGGTAATGTTGGTTGATATCTTAAGTAACGTTGGTTGATGGTCATTGACTCAAATGATTCAATCAAATCCATCACATTGTGAAACTATAACCAAAACATACAAATATGAGTTAAGATAAAAAAAAAAAAAAAAAAAACTGGAAAAGACATGTGCACTACATTTTACAAATAGCGACTCCTCAGATCTTTTTGGTTTGATATTTACCTGGGTCTGGGTAAATACTAGAGATAACTCCTGCTGTAACACCTCAATCAGAAGCTGTAAAGAAAAAAAAATTTTGAAAAATAATGAATAGTGGTTTTCTACCAGTAATAGGGAGCTTTTCAAAAACAAAAATTTGCAGACTTTTTCAAATACCTTAGGTGTGTCAAGTACTATTTCTGATGACTGGTCCATCACAACATGACATTCAGCAGACAAAGGCTTTAAAACTTTAAACAAATAAGTAATCAACACAGCTATTAGAGACAGAATATCAACAGAGAATTCTCAAAACACTTTCCTTACTTAATTTATGATCTATCATTTGAAGATAGTACAACCACAATTCTATATTTAGTTTGACACTTTGCTAATAGTAGATCAAACACGGCACACTCAAAATCATCATCACTCAATTTAAGGTCTTTTTTCATATTAAGTATACAGTCATGTACAGTCCATTGCTTTAGCTAAAAATGCTATAAACTCTTCAAAACACCCACAATTTAAACTTTCTCTTCACTATTTAATCCTAACTGCCATAGATGAGACCTACTGAATTCATAATTGGATGGAAGGCTTGTTTTGCTTGAGACCTCACGGCTCATAAGGTCCTGAAAAAGAGAAACAGGAACTATACCATATGATTTCAATAGGACAAATCTTCAGCTACTAAACAATTGTACCTGGTGTGACTCCTTACTCCTAAAATCTTGCTCCTTATTCTCTGACACACCCCTGGTACATATAACTCTCCAACCTTCTTTCAACCTTCCCCTCCTTGCTCCTTGGCCAGCTTACTCTCTCCTCCCTTTCCCTCTTATCTGCCCTACCCCTCCTTAGCCCCCTAAAATGTTGCTCTTATTCCCTCACAACCTCCCCTACACCTAACTCACCAACCCTCTGCTAACCTTCTCCACTTTGCTTCTTAGCCTGTTCACCCCCTTACCTGCCCAATTGCCCAACCCCCTCCCCCCCATCCCTCTCTACTATCCCCTTACTTGCTCAGTTGCCCAACCTCTCTCCCCAATCCCTCTCTATGGGTGACTAGGATTGACCATGACATTGTTTATTCATCTTAATTTGCACCTCTCCCAAACAGCTGACTGCATTGTTAAAAAGCAAGGACATTCTTCAAATTAAGGTAATTTTCTCACAAATATATGCTATGTCTGCACGTGCTAGAAGTATATTAGCATGCAGGGGAAGGAGAACACACAAATTGTGAAGACAAGTTCCTGCATGCATGTACTTAAGCCTATTAATAAAAGCAAATGATAAGCTTATGCAAGTAGCGTATTACAAATTACTGAATATGAATACATTCTTTGAGGGCACCTTCCAAGAATGTTGCATTGAAAAGAACTGCGTTGACGTCTGATTTGTGTTCCAGTACATAGCCAGGCAATCGAGACTCACTATCTAAAGATTGAAAAATATTGATTATTATAATCAATTGCACTAGATTTTACAATGTAGAGACTATTGTCCATTTTTACACAAAAAAAAAGCAGTTTGAAGATAACTCTACATAATTTACAATTTGAATCATCAAATACCTTGTAAATAGTTTTGGCTGACGCATCCACTACACACTCCTGCCATAATTCATTGGTTGTCTAAAGGAAACCAAAACCTAATTAGCAGTTCACATGTGGATAACATCAGAACTAGATTGACCAAGGCAGATCTGCCAGAAGATTGACTTGCGTGGAGCAGAAGTAAGGGTTGAGTAATAAAGACTACCTGATACTGAGACCTAGTATTTTTCTATTAAGGGCCTTCATCAGGAGCCATTATTTTAATTAACCTTTAATAAACCTTATACACCCTAACATCAGTATCCATATTCTCTATACTCTTCTTTATATATTTCCTTTAGCACTGACAAGGAGAATTTGTTGAACAATCAAAGCTTTTTTGGGAGGTGATCATTTCCTTTCTTCTCATGATCTTAATGGATGATTCAGCCATATTACTGTAAGGAGAAATTTGATGCTGGTCACTCTCAGGCTTTAAAGGGTTTATAAAATCAGAACTCACCTCAGCTGAGAGATTTTGCAGAGTAAAGCCCACAGTGAATGGTTTATTTGGAGAAGTAACCTGTCAGAAAGGATGACCAGCAATAATTAGGATGTTTATCAGAGGGTTCTCAGTAATTGAGAAGAACTCCTTGAAAAAATCTGTTGGCTGACTATTTGCCGACTGTTGTCTGACTATCAGCTGTCTGATGGCTAACAGTCAGCTCACTGTTGACCAACTGTCTGCTGACAGACAATTGACTGTCAGCCAACAGTTTTAGGCAACTGTACAGGCCCTGAGGAAATGGTTTTATAAAAAAAATCATGATGATAATTTTGCTCAGTTTATACCTTATCCTCATAGCGAAAATGAACATTCTTCACAGAAATCTAAGAAAATGGAAACAGATACCATTAATAATGTAAACAAAGTGAATGCAGCATGAGTTGTGATTTCAAAAGCTATTTACATGTACACTGTCCCTTACAAATATATTGAATTTCCCACATAACAGTGTAAAACTTGCACAATTCATTTATATGATTCCACACATTGTTAGATATTTGTAACTCAGTTGTAAAAATTTACCTTAAGGTTCTTCAAAACTTGAGCTATCAGTTTGTCCACAAAGGAGTCAGAGCCCTCTTCAGGATTTTTTGGCTTCTCTAAACAAACAATACCCTTTAAATAAATATAATTACATGTAACAAATTTAAAATGTTAAGTTACCAACATTTCTACATTATTCAAGTGGTGGTTTTTACAGGAAATTCTGCAATATAAACAGTTAATTGAGATAAGTAAAAGCACTTCAAGCATTGATGCACTATCATTTAGCCAAAAAAAGTATAAAGTCATATACATTATTTTGTACAAGCACATGACTGTACATGATATGTATGTACTTGTGTTATTATCACATCACATTGAGTTGAAAATGTTAACCTTCATTGATGTCTGTGGCCTGAGTCCGCTGTTCAATCTGGGAGAGGCGTTTTCTTTTAGCTGCAAGTTCTGATGCATTAGCTCTCACAGGGTCATATTCTCTCTCTATGGCCAAAAGCAAAAATACCAAACAAGCAACCAAAAATAGCATTAAACTACATGCCTTCAAGAAACAAAGCAACTTTTTAAACAAAAAGATTTCCTGTCCACTGTCATCAGAGGCTTGGATAACAGACAGTGAAAAGTTAACAGATAAGAAGGAGGATGTACTGCAGGTAAAACCATTTAAAAAACCTTTTGACCCGTAACAGTACGTAGCATCTAATTTCCCCTAACAATATCACCCCTGAATCACCCATTATGGTCACAAGAAAAAAGGAAATAATTGCCAACTAAAAAAGCTCATAATTGTTACATTAACTCTTCTTGTAAACTTCTAAGGAAATGTACAGGGTGTACTGTAATAGAGGATATGCAGTAAGTGTAATATTAGGTCGAAAGGGTAAAAATCATTGATGATACCTCACCTCGAATGGGTCCTGCTATCAGATATACATCATGCACCGCTATGTCCAAGGGCTCAGTATACAGATTAGTCCATGGAATTGTCAGAGAGATTTCCCCTGCACATAAGTACATGTATGAAAAGTTACACTAAGGCATACCAGAAGAAATCATATCCCACAACAGTTACCTTAATTACCAAGATGTCGATAAATACTCCAAAAGTGTGTAATACAAAATAGATATCAAACTGATAAAGATCAATCTCAAGGAAGCTGTAAAAAAAATTAAATACAATTTCCTTAAAACCAAAAATGTTTCTGTGATCATCATTATTTACTACACATGATGAGGCTAAATAGCATAACAAAACACTTATAAAGTATTTGAAAAGGAAATTATCCCTTTTATCAAAAATCACAGTAATACTGATTATTAAAAAATACATATAATTTTTGATGACAATAAATTATATGCAGCTTGTATACAAGCATAAATAACAATACTTACCAACATAGCCATGTGTCACTTCTATGGGAAGATGAAAATCATCCTTAAGAGCAAGTGTAATAACATAGTGTTAACACTGCATCAAGAGGGAAATTAAGAGAGGGAGGGAGTATTCATTCTTGTTCAAGAGTTAGCTTTAACCCCGTAACTTCAAAGATATGTTTGTTAATTCTCCCTTTTCTAGCTGCTACATATTTCCTTGTAAATTAGGAACAAGAATTTAATGTTAGATCCAGATAAGCACTTCTACCCAACAGATTTGAATTACTTCTCATAACCTGTTTGCTACATAATAAGTGGATATTACAGGGAGAAGTTACATCGTTAATAACTTCTGGGAATTATAGATTTGAATAAAAAAAAAGAATGTGGTTCACATCGTCATTTAATCAAGTAGTAGGAAAAAAGTTGAAAAATGTTTGAAACCAGTGCAAACAATATTTAGAACATAGCAGGTAAATTTGCATAACCAAATTCAGTTGTGATAACTTGTTGACAAATACTCATCATGCATGTTGATGATGGGTGTACAGGCATCGATTGGCATAACAGAGGGAATTGATCTATATATAACATAGTTACAAATTAAAAAAATGGACAACAATTGAACAATTGATTTATCACTCAGCATTTGTTGATCAGGATATAGTCACTGAGTAGCTTTTATTTTTTTCCAAACTTCTCATGGGCAAAATATCTATGAATCCACACTGGTGCAGAAACTAATGGTAACATTTCTAAGCCTGAGGGCTACTTATAAATACACATTACTATTTAAGAAACTCATGGATTTTTATGGGCTCATGTTGAATGGTGAAAATTGCCTTTTACTAGTAGCTTACCAATGCATCATCTCGCAGTTCAAGATCTGTCAGGACAACATTTCCTTAAAAACAAATTCCAGAATTAATTGACATTCAATCAACCCCCTGCGATTAAAACATCATCATACTTAGTGCAGTTTAATGATTACGAATAAAGTTAATAATGACAAACTCTTGGACACTAGTTTCTTCACATAAAACAATTGTATCACATCGTCAAATCGCAAAGTTACCTGCGTCACACAATATACAAAGTCACGCTCAACTCCATGTTTGGCACTAACACACTAACGAGTGAAGAGGCAAACGAAAGTGAAATCTAAACACCACACAACTTGAAATAAAATATCTTAAGATTCCCTAGCACGCACCTCAAAGTAGCACCGCGCTAAGTCAAACTTAGTTAACGTAAACTGAACTTCTAGCTGAATCGGACGTGAAGCCATTTCCCTTAGGGAACATTTGCAAAAAGCTCACTCAGTACAGAGGAACTCCCCTCGCTCTATCCAGCTGTTTATTTGATTCCTCAGGCAGTTTTCCTTAGAGGGTTCGGTTGTAATTAAAAATTTAGCTTCTGTTCTCATTAACTCTGTTTGTTAACTCTTTCCGTAAGTAAACTGTAATTCCTTCATAAATTTGACAGGGCTTCATTTTCCAGCTTTTTCGGAGTAAGGCTGCGCTATATATATCACAAGACACGCACACGATCATAACATATCCTATTACATTGTGCAAAACTATGCATTTAAATAAGAACTTCAGCTCTCTATTTTCCTATTTACATACTGCTTTCGTTTTATACTTAAGCTGAAGTAGTAATGTAATTAAAAGTTCACTTACCACTAAAAATTCCGAGTTCGAGATTCGAGCTGTCTAAATCTTTGATGTATTTTCCGAGAACTCCATTCAAGATCGATGCAACGAGGGACTCTAACATGTCTTCTCTCAAAACACTTCGGCTCAGATCCTAAAGCAATGAACTTTGCACAAAAAAATTTCCGTTGTGAAGCTTTAATCAAGCCCTGGAGCTTCCCCAAAGATTTGTCACAGATTCACAGCTGATAGTTACGATAACACAGCTGAAACGAGTGTCCTGCTAAATATTTGCATTGCATAAAAGACGTGAAAATTAGCGACAAATAACTTCCACACACATCGATTTAGAAAACGGAGAAAGACGATTCCCACTTTCTAATGGATCCGTTCCAATAAATAAACTGCTGACAAATATGTCCAGGTTGCAAAAAGAGACGAATTGTTACGCCAAAGGAGGAAAGAGTGGATCGAGTTAACATGAAAGCGAGGCTTCTTTACCTCTGCAGAAAGCGCGCCAAAGGAAAAGCTGATAGTGCACACACGACTTTGATTGAAGAATAGAACATAAAACTAAAGATGTTTATCAGGGAAAGGTTATGTTCAGCTTGACGCATTCAATTCTCGGTCTCCATTACGGTATCTGATACAGCTGTCATTATATGCTTATCTTTCTGCGGGTTTAATAGACTTATAGAAGGTAGCTCCGAACAAAAATTCCACAAGTTTTATATTATAGCTTTTCAGCATACATTTAGGCTAAATTTCCCTCATGCGGAAATTCTAACCCACGTAATTATCACCGTTGGTGTATATGAGGGTCTCAATGGGGTGATGACTTTTACAGCTAACAGTTAATTTCTTCCCGATAAAGTCAACAGAAACATTTTTACGGTTAACTTATTCACCGTGCGACTCTCCGATACGATTTGAATAAAGTCACGCGTTTTCCAGGGAGTTGAATTGCACGATTCTCCTTTTAGACCTGTCATGGTTTGCACGTGAGGATTCGAGTCTTTAATCGACACGCGCTCCTGGCGTGTGTATTAGGGCGTAGGGTATATGTACGTGGTCAACGGGTCGCGTGAGAGTAGATCGCCTCTACGCCTGTAAACTTTACGAAGTTTATTAAAGAATTAAACTAATTCCTTATAATCTTTCGTATATTCAACAGAGTCAGGGGGCAGAAAAATACAACGACAAAGATATAATTTTATTTACAAAGTTTGAATTCATCAGCTTAACCAGTTCAAGGTTATACTCTTTAACATGTTAACAAAAGATAGCTAATTCAAAATTGGAGCGTTGTGGATGTACACAACAAGATTCCACAAATGATAGATTTTAACCTTACTACTTATTTTCGCCAGGCTTTTGGAACAAAACTAAAATTTATTTTTTTTAATCTTGATGTAATTTTATTGACATAGCAAAAAACTCAATTCCTTTACGTCTAATCCTTACATCAACATCACTATAGTAGTTCTCAAAAATAATGTGTGAATTCCCAACAAAGTTTCAAGAGAAACATAAAAAAACGAACAACCAGGAGTTTCTAATCTAAGCTCCAAAAAACAGCTCGAAAATTCTACTCAAAGAAAGAGATGGAGCACACGCCATCTAGTCAATCAATAATTTTATTTAAACTAATGTCTGCATTGTGATATCCATTATTTTTCAAAAGCTTCACCCCTAAGACACCCATGTACATTACCAATGCATGTTGAATTTAACCTACAATGTGTACAAACATTATACAAAGTTTGTGAGAAAACTGACCCGAAAACATAGAAAAATACTCATGACTTGTGGTGTACAAAATAGGTCTGAATATTTTCACTTTCAAATTGACACACTTTACTACTTTCTGGGAAAAATAATGAATATTTGTACTCTAAACTAAACTGGTTAACATTTTTAAATGGTCAGCCTTTACCTTCAGACGGAAAATTTTGAATTAAGCTTTTTTACTTGTTTATGTTACATGACTACATTCTCGGTCTCTTTTTCCGATACCCTAATATCAAATGAACCAATTGTACCCTCTCCATTATAACTCTTGGCTAGAAAAGAAACTAAATTTTTTTTAAAATGTGATTTTTTTTTCTATCCAAGTGTTTCGTGATCCTCCCCGTGATAAATCTTTCTAGTGTACGAATTTAGTGGTATATTCTTGTAACAATTTTTCTCAATGATACGAAAATTTCTTATCAGTCGCATAATACAAGTATTTTTGTTTCAAGAATTAAGAATTTTGCGCCTAGAAGTCGTTAGTGAGCAAAATTCCCTAGTGGCAAAAATTGATAAGTGACATGTCTTGGCCGAATGAAATTGTTTTCTATTTTCTAAACCAACTACGCTTAACTGTAATCTATATAAATATGTACCACACAAAAATCAATTCGTTTTACTTTACAGTCTTAGCCAACAAAACAACGTTTTCTCCACTCGAAGACAAGCAACCTGAGGAGAGCATCACCATACGTTATAACCCTTTAACTCCCGCGAGTGACAAAGACAGAATTTCTCCTTACAATATCGATACGATGTCAAGTGGACAAGCAATGAGAATAAAGAACAATATCAATTAGAGGATTATTAGTTGATCCAGTACCAAATTCTTTGAACTAACATCACAAGAATTATATGGCAGATGGTAAGGAGAATTTCTAATGAGATCTTGGGAGTTAAAGGGTTGAACCAAAACTCCGTATGGAGTATCAAGTGAGCCCGCGATGACTGTTGCATCAACTTGGTCTCGTCATACGGGACACTGCACCCAGATGGATGGAGATAACGAAGGTTTTGTGGGTTATCTATATCTCACTTGTTCAAGAACGTAAAAAATGTTCTTATCTATAACACGTACCAAAGTATCAATACAAAAGGATGAGTGCGTACAAAAAACGCCCCATCGTTTATTTTGGCGACTTCTTTCTCGTTCTTCGCTGTGCCAGCAGCGAGGCATGGACGGGTTTAAGCCGCTTGTTGTCAGGGGAAGAGAGGGCGGAGAAAGTTGCCTTGACAGCTTCCTTAATTCTTGACACACTGCTGACTTGGTGAAGCCTGTGCTGAGGTAGTTGATGACGACTTACCACCCATGGGTGTTGAAGAACCTGAAAAGAGAGAAAAACGGTTAGGAGGAGCCACGAACGTAAATATATAAATAATAAAATACACCTACACAGAAACAAAAACGGCTTTTTCCAATTTAATTAAAACGCCATTTCTGAAGAATCAAAATGGCTGTGAGCCACTGAAGTGATGGAACGATGGATGGGAAAGAGTGAATTTTGGACCATAGAAACAACTCGGAAATGGCTTTCAGTCATTTTCCAAGTGAAAAAGAAGATCAATCTTGTTTCTTTGAACAGTTAAGACAAGGATAGAACACTCACTAAAGTATCAAAGGCCAACACGAAAAGGAAGATTGACGTTCGAAGGACTCTAATTTTAAATTGCCAATTACTCAATGCAAGATAATCCATCCACAGGTCATTTCTCTAACAACTATTTGTAAATTATTTCAAGCTCACCTGTTTTGCTGTCAGCCGCAGTCTTGGATTAACGTGAAGCATCTGTCTGACTAAATCCTAGAGAGTAATCAAAAAGGTGTCAATCAATGATAGGCAAATCAGAAAAAAACAAGGTCAATGCTTTGGGTGTGAAGCACAAAAAAAGTAAGGTTCCATCTTTTGGCGCGCCTCCTTTCCAGAATTCGGCACGGCGCACTAACATGAATATTTTTTCACTCAATTTTTTTTTTAATTAACGCGACGGACTTCGCCGAAAAGGAGGGACTCCTCGTAGTCTCTGGAGCGTTCTTATACAGACGCCTCGTAAGAAATCTAACAAAGTGTATCTAAATTCATTATAGGGTAGGTTCTAGACTTTTCAATAACATTTATTTGTTCGACATAGACATCTAACCTTTCACAGAAATAATGTTAGGAACAATGACACTTTAAGTAAGGTTTTTGTGACATTACCTTGGCAACATCTGAGACATGGTCCCAGGCTCCTCCCACAAGGGAATACTTTCCTTCCCCGATTCTTGACAAAATGACCGATGCAGAATCTTCTGGGCCGACAGCAAATGGTGTTTGCCTGATGTTGATAAATGAAGAAAGTGTTAGCCGCAACTATAACTACACAGGTCTCCGTTTTGTCAGCAATAACGCGGTTTCTTTCTACACATTATGCTGACTAATGATTAGCCAGACCCTCCTCCAAACTTCTTCCCGACTCGTCCGAAATCTTCCCGGGCGCGGAGAAACGCGCGTCTTTCAGCGCTAATAATGAGGACCTGCTCCCAAGCTACTGCGTGGAAGACTAACAGTTCTCAAGAACACTACGAAACACTCACTCACCCAGCTAGCATGGTGTAAAGAAGAACGCCCAAGCTCCAGATGTCACAAGCCGCATCGTATCCCTGTTTCTTGAGCACCTCTGGAGCCACGAAATTTGCCGTATAACATGGAGTCATAAGCAGACCATTTGACGCGCGGATCTGTTTAGCAAACCCAAAATCAACTATCCTCAGAGACTCGGGGCTGCCGCTGTCGTCCGCGTACATGATATTGCTTGGTTTTAAATCCCTGTGTACAACCTATAACGAAGGGGGAAAATTCTCGTTAGTTCATGGTTGGCTACCAGAGAAAGCAACAGGGGCGGGATTACCCAAATTGTTATCGCAAAACCGAAAATTGTATCTTTACATATGGGAAACTTTTCGATTAAGTCTTGCAAAACCATAACCAAAGTGATCTCAACGATCAATCAGAATAAAGGAAAATGTCACAAGGAGCCAATGAGAACTCAAAGGAAAAAGATGTTAACTGTCTAAAGCGCGGGAAAACGCGAGTGACCAAGTCGGGATGGGTTTAGTTGTTCTTAGTTTCTGATTAATTGAGAGGCTGGCTCGAGTTTTCTTGACACAATCAAAGAGCGTAGACAAGCAAAACAAGGACAGTCCCAGAATAAAATAATGTGGTACTATCAACTGAGTTGATAACGTAAATTGGTCAACGTTAAGAGTTTCAAAGCTGACGTTTCGACCTTCGCTCTGGCTGAAATGTCCGCTTTGAAACTCTTAACGGTGGCCAATTTACGTTATCAACTTTTTCGCGCGAGCTTACTCGGTCACGACAACTGGGTAAAAAACTAAAAATACACAATGTTGCCAATATTCTAGTCAAACTGACTTGGAGATTGGTCAAAAACATATAACCTACCCCTTCTTCATGAAGGAAAGTAAATGTGCTAGCCAGAGTGTACATGATGAGAGCAGCCTCTCTTTCTGATAGACTCTTGTGTTTCAATATTCTATCCAGTAGTTCTCCACCCTTCATGAGCTCCATCACCATGAACACATTTTTGTCATCTTCAAACACCTTCGACGAAGAGGAAAATATTTATGTATATCAGTTACATCTTTTAAGTGGTGAACAAAAAATAAGAAGGGGGGAGGTGTGAAGAGGATGTTTAAGGAGCAAGGGAAGGGGAGCTGTGGAGACCTGGTTACCCATTATGCGACCTGCATCTTCGGAAGCTCAACCAAGTTTTTTAACTATCAACCCTAATACTCTTGATACCGATCAATAAGTAATTTCTCCTTATAATATCAATACCTTGTCAAGTAAAGAGCTTATGAGAAGACAGAGAAAAATCAAAAATCAAATAAAAAAATCTCTCTACATGTAAATATCTTAGCTTACATCTCTGAGGTGAATCACATTTGGATAGCTTCCATATCGTAAAAGAATCTGTAAGGGAAACAGTTCGTGTTAATTACCTAATATATAATTGATAAGTTAGTGTTTTAGTTTGCCAATTAAAACAATATCAAAATTTTTGTTATTCCTCCGTGGAATTACAAAATGCAAGGCATAACTGCTAAAAGTGGAATATTTTTCACATTCTATTTGTTTCAAAATTTAACAAGCTAGCAATGACTCAGAAAGAACACATGATTTTATAAAACAAGTAAAGCCAGAAAAATCAAACAATTAAAGAGGAGTTCTCACCTCAATTTCTTCTGTAGGATCTCGTTTACTCTTATCTACAATCTGTAAAGTTAGAACAAGGAGTAAAATTCTCAATGACCATGTCTTTTCCAAAATTCATGTGAACAGTCAAGTCTGTACCAGACCCTAGAGGCCTATCCAGCTGGAGTTTATCCTGGTCTCCATAGCATGAAGCAATTAGGAGCATTACTACTACTACTACTACCTTTTTTATAAAACTTTTCAGCTTATTGATAGCCTGTGCAAAATATCAGTTCTAAACTTTATATCAAGTATGATAATTGATATTTCAAAGGGAAAGAATTTGCTATATAGTCTCACCAGTTTGCTAGGGAAAAAAATCTAACTAGCAAAACTTTGCAAGTCAACTAAAAAGTTAACTTCAAGCCCTGTAACAGTTCATAACTTCACCCAATTTTTTGGGGAGCCCTCCCTATTTATCATTGGGCTTAAGACTTGCAGAAGGGGATATTTAACTTAAAACCTGCAGATCAAAGGTGGCTCTAAATGGTGTGCATACATTGTGCAATTAACCTGATGAAAATCAATGTTTTATACCTTGACTGCACACTCTCCCCCTGATGCTTTGTGAATACATTTTTTACATACTGAATATGATCCTCTTCCAATTTCCTGTTGCCAAAAATATAAAGGTTTAATTAGCAAAAAGGTTCAGTATAATATGGACATTACTCAGCCTACTGTGCCCATAACTAAGAATGTTTATCATTCTTTCTAATTAATCCTGTCACTAATGGCCACATGAGCATAATGCAGAGCATGTACTCAACATCTGAGAAAACCATCTTAACTGAAAACCCTCATCACTCTATCACACTTCTCTCCACTCAATAAACAGATTCCATTTGCCTGATACATCTATTCAGAAAAGTTCACTGATGACATCAAAATGTGACTAGAACAAAAAAGTTACACATGAGGGGCAGCCACGTGTGTCACTGATTTTCTCTTCACATTTTGACATCTTCTGTGATCTATCACCAAATAGACCCACGGAAACATGGAATGTATTTGTTTTATATGACAAAAAAACAAAATGTTGTAAATGGTGACTGTCCTCAAAAAGATCACAAGTAAGTACATGTACCAGTTAAAACATATGACTGTATAATTCAGCTAATCATATAAAACGCAATGTTGCCCATCCAGTCATATGATGTAAGAAGAAAAAAATACCAAGCAATGTCATTATCTTTTAAAAACAAATTATGCATGAATCTACCTGTTTAATATCATATTCTTCAAGAATGGATGTTGTTCTTATCTGGAAGATGTTATGCAAAGGCTGGGGTGAAATAAAAAAAAACTTCAATAAGCTTTTAATATAAATAATCAATAATCTTAGACCTGTTAATATCAATTGTATATTTTGACTATAGACAGCTGTTTACATTACAAGCAACGAGCTTTAACCTGGAAACTTTTAAACTAGCTCTGTCAATAACTATGTTTTGGGGAATGAATCAATAAAAAAAGACTTAACTTTGACCAAAGGGAAAAGAAAAATAAAAAATAATGTATCAGAAAAAGTAACAGAAAAGAAAGCAAGGAACACAAGAACTTGTAAGTTATTAGTAACTGATTTCTTACTCTATGGTCAGTTTCCATTTTTTCAGGTCCATTGGATGTTGTTTGATCAGATTCCTCCTGTAATGAAACCAGGACTATCAGTGAACCATTGCAATGGCAAAGAAAAGTCACATTCATTTACTGTGCAACTATTAAATCCTTAATTCTGATTGGTTCCCAGTACACCTAATAATATACTGGAGCTATTGCATAATCATACAGGTAAACTGTTTATGTCCAAAGAGAGATAACTTTTGTGGTCAAAAGACCACATGGCAATGGATGGTGGACAAAGACATAGAGCACAGAGGTTCCAAGCCACATAACCCACTTTGTTGTAATCATGCATTGTAATCTTGAAATGATGAATAATTTGCAATATTTCTAAACTGCACTCCAAGCTGTCCAATAACAAACAAGAGTAGCTACTATATCAAATAGGAGGTGAGATTTAAAACAAAAAGTATAGCTATGTACTAGTTAGCAGGAGAGAATGCCAACACATGAATGTGCCATGTTGAATGCAAAGAAGAAAATACCCAAAGAAAACTATTTTTCCTTAGCTCATAAAGTTTCAAGGAGCTATTCAGATATGTATACCATAACTTACTTGTACAAGTGATGGATCCACAAAACTAAACCCTCTAAAGAGCTGATGACATGTGGCACTTGGAGGAACAGCTGGGGAATCTGAGAACAAAAGATAGCATCAGGCAAGCGCCAGGTTGGCATGTAATCCTCTTTAACCTTTCACTATGGTTACTTAGGAGTAACCAAACAGAATTTTCCTAACAATATCAATAAATTCACATGCAAACAGGCAACAAGAAAAACATTATGTACATGTAGGCAACATTGTTTGATTGAACACCAAATTATGTAGGATGAAATTCTCAAGAAAAGGATAGAAGACAGTGCAGGGAGTCAATTTTAAGAAATTGGTAGTAAAAGGGTCAACTACATTTTGTTCATAGAAGTTGTGCCAAAAGGGAATGCCATGTTTCAAATTATTGACACTAGTTGAACCACAGCTGTTGAATGTACAGTTTGCACTTCACAAAATATTAAGTTACAGTTAGGTGTAAGTGACCATTTGTTTAACGCTGATGAAAGAATTTTTATACTGAAGTAACTCTTGTTCATATCTAGCGACTAATATCCTGACTCTTTCAGAACTACTGATAATTTCCCTTAATTCTGATGCAAGATTCTTGCATATTGATCTTCCTAATCATCTGATGTATAATATTAAATAACTATTTCAGAGCACATGTTGGATCTGAGATGATGGATAGCCAACAAGACCAGTAGCACCAAGTTGGCTATAATCATCTTGTATTCAACAAGTGCAAATGGAACAATTGTTTTATTAAAAATGCCCCAAAATATTGAAAATCTTCCCAAGTTTATTTTGTAAGATCAAACATAATATTATAATGTACAAAAACACCATGTAGAGTATGGAATAATGGCTCATAACTCGTATATGATGGCTAAGCCAATGAAAACTCATGAATTGCATAATTCAATGATCCACTGGTAAATAAATGGTAATATTTCTTGTAGAAAATATTTATAGTGAATGTTGATTTTCAGTCTATATTGATTTTCTGTTGTTTTGTTTTCCTTTAGGATGTTACATATAGCTCAGTACAGATACTATCAAATGTGAGACAAACTAAAGTTTATGTCATATCTATCTTAAGTTTATTTCATCATGTGTTCTCTTATTCTGTTGTTCAATTGTGCAGTAATTCAAAATTGTGCAGGTAAATGTTTAATTTAATCAGGGACTCTCAGCCTTCCATGACTGCAGTGGTCTGGATGTCAGATTAAAATGGTAACATTTTTGTCTTTAACAATACCTTGTGGTGTCTTGGAGGTAAACTCAGGATCAAAATAGAATGCATCATCTGCTCTCCCAGCTGCAGGCTTGAATGGGGGCCTCAGCTCTTTTTTGTATAATTTCTGAAAATATCAAATCCACCTTTAGGAATCAACACAACAAGAAGGCGTAAGGCTGCACTTCAACAGACCCTGAGTACAACAGGAAACCTACTTTTACTTGAGGTAAGGTGACCTGAGCAAATTTGTGCTTGTAAAAGCTCTTGACCCTTTATATTAACTCCCAAAAGTGATTAACACATAACTTCTCCCAGTAATATCAACACATCATCTGGCAAACAGGTTACGAGAATATTCAAACTCATCAAGTAGAAGTTGTCATCTGATCTCACACCAAATTCTAATGTCCAATTAATAAGGAAATGTGTAGGAACTGGAGGGGAGAATTAACAATCAGATCTTAGGAGTTGAAAGGATAAGAGTTGAGCAACTCAGGTTCTAGGGCAGGAGACATGAATCAATCCTTATGTGAGCCAAGCTTTGAGGAATGAATTCAGCACCAAATCAGGACACAATGAAAAGAAATAAGAGCTTTCAAAAACAAACCTCCCATTCTATGGATGAAAAGAAGGAATGTGCCTTGATATCTTCAATGCCATTCTCACCAACACCTGGAATGATGAACAAATGAAGTGAAAAAATAACCCTCACACTAATTAAAGTACTTTTCTTGATCTCTAACTAATGTATAGACAACAGCAAACTCTGCACACTACATCTACATATACCAGGATATGCTATATTCCAGGAAGGAGGTTCATAAAAATAGTAAAAAAAGAAGAAGAAAGCTGAGCCTAAAGTCTTGTGTATGATGACAGAGAGTCACAGAGGGCTGTACTTAAAACCAAGGGCACAGTTTTTTCCAAATGGACTGATCTTGACTAGTAAATAAATTGTTTACTCTTTTCTGCTGGTTTGAATTTTTCAATTATGATGCAAATAGCACAGAAAAAAATTTCAGACCATGGTCTGTATTATAAAAAGCTGGACCAGTAACAACTGAAAAACTCTTCAGTTATGCCCCATAAAATAAAAAAGATAAAAACCAAAGGAATATTTAAAAACCGCAGTTGTAATAATTTCTAACTTGTGTCTAATCTCTCCAACTCACCTAATCTGTTTGCTGGATTCCTTTTGAACAGCATTCTCAAAAGACTTTGAGCATCCGGGGATAAGAACTGAGGCATACCAAGTTTGGCCCTGTTAATTGTAATGTTAAAAATATATAGTTATATAAAAAGCAACTTATGAGAAAAACAACAACTCGAACATGCTAACCTATTTTTACAAACTGTGATCAAAAGTAAAATTTTGGTTCTATCAATTAAGTTGATAATGTAAATTGGTCTCTGTAAAGAGTTTCTAAGGCAGTTTAAGTATTAGCCCTTCATCAGAGCGAGTGACCAAAAGTGTTTTTTTTCCAATTTACTTACTTTAAAATCATATTCATTGTATCTTTCCTGTCTTTCCCTTGAAATGGGAGAGCACCTGTCAACATCTCGTACTGAAAATGAAAAGAAAAGGAAATATCACATTTCAGAAACATTTGAGATGCAAATTGTTAATTATCTGGAGATATTGTTCCAAAAATCCCTTGTCAAGAATTGTGACTAAAAATTTGGGAAGAAGGTGGAGAGTTGCCTAATCATAAATGATCCTTTTACACCATTACATCAGTATACATCTTCTCCACACTGTTCTCTACACATTTCATAAGGTACTGGCAATGAGAATTTGTTTAACAATCAAGAGCTTCTTTTGTTGTTGATCATTTCCTTTATTCTCATGACCTTAATGTGTGACTCGGGATGATACTGTAAGGAGAAATTAGAAGCTATTTACTCTTAAGGGTTGAAGGGTTAAAGTTTAGCTGTCAGAGGAGTACATTCATGTGATAAACCCCAAGAGGAAAGCTTAAGACAATTTTACTGACCATCAGGACACCATAAGACCACCAGTCTGCAGCCTGTGTATGACCTCTTCTGTTTACCACCTGGAAGATGAATTGAACAATAATTATACATTGTAACAGGTACACATACAGTGTAAATGGAGTTTTTAATCAGCATATGCTGACTTGGACCTTAGTTTCACAGAATGAACGAGTCTCCATGATAATGTTCTGTGAAGGATCAAACACTACAGAAATGCACTCTCTGAATACACACACTACATTCAGGTGAAGAACTAAATTCATAAGTAAAAAGAGAATTACCTCTGGAGCCATGTACTCCACTGTTCCACAGAATGAGTATGTTTTCTGATCATATTCAGATTCTTTTGAAAGACCAAAGTCTAAAATGAAAACAAAGCCACTTAGTTAACAAATATACAATACTAATTCCTCAAGGAACAACAGATACTTTAAATCTACCAACCTGTTAGTGTGACATGGCCACTAGCATCTAGCAGAATGCTGAAAACAATACAGGATAAATATACATTTACTACATTTATCAACAAGGTCATTGATATAAAATGATCAAGGTGTTACCTGAAAGCTGCAATGAGGCAACTGACCCCACACAAGTACAACTGGAGGGTCACATGACCAAAAAAACCCTAAGCGACATTTGATAGACTGCTGAATTCTTCTCTCAAATTGACTTGTGTTTGCTCAAAGAAGATCCTATTATTTCATAAAGTCACTGAGGTCTATATTCCTTGGACCCTTTAATTTTCTTCTTGATAAGCAAACACACTGGTATGACAAGGTATACCCCCTCACCAATGCCTTCAAATTTTTGTCCCATCTCTGTGACAATTTCCATAAAAGTAATGATAAAAAGTTCTGCCAAAGGTAACTAAACAAGCCTACAGAATCCAAAATGTTTTCTTTAATTTTTTTTCTGACAAAAATTCTCCTTGATAAATAAAAAAAGACAATCAGACTTGCCCAAGTTACTCCAACAAATAAACTTTTACTATAACTAAGCAAAAGAACGAGCATGCAACAGTCCTCAAGTGAACATGCACATTGATAGTAAATTTCCCTGGAACAGACCAAAATGTCTCCACTCACAAATTTATCAAATATAACTCAGAGCCAGAGTGGCAAACATATCCACTATCAGTAGTTCTCCCCAGCAGTTGGTCATCTATACCCCACAATCAAAAGAGAACACAAAATCGCCTTGAGAAAGGAGGTGTACACTAGAACCCTAACAGATGCTGGCAGAATTGAGCAAACTATCAAACTGCCTGGTGCATCCTTCAAGAACATACAGAGAATAATATTTAGGAAATGCTCAGATTTACAAAAAAAGAATACTTACTTCTCAGGTTTTAGATCTCTATAAATAATTCCAATCTTGTGAAGATGGTCCAAAGCTAAAGCTAACTCCGCCAAGTAGAATTTCACATCCTCTTCTGTAAACATAATCTGTTTCATAAAGATACAAAAGGAATAAAAATTTGAAATAATAAATGTATGTTGTAAAAAATATCTAAGAACGCATGAAGAAGTGATTAATGCACACAATGGCTGGCTACCAGATAACTTTGTCACCTCAGAGTTTTGACAACTAACTCCATCATCAGCTCAAGCTTCAGCCACAGGATGTCAGTGATAGAGTGAAAAACTTGATACTTCATGATGATTACTTATCACAAATATTGAAGTAGCGGTAAACTTAATTTCAAAATTATTTGTGCTCCAATATAAGAAATTCTTACAGTTTTCGTACCTCTTTTGATAACCTTGTAAATAAATCCCCTCCTCTTAGAAAATCAAGAATCAAATAAACTTTTCCTTCTGTTTGGAAAGCTGGGAATGCAAATAAGGAAATGTTTGAACCAACTACATTTTCACTTAGCCTTGACAACACTCACTGTTGAACTCACTGTTCAAAAACTATTATTTAGCATGATTATTTTCAACATTATTTGTTTATCTATTAATGAATTCAGTCATTCATATTATGTGCGTTTTAAATGTATAAAAAACACTGCAAAATGCGATAAACTGCTTGCAAATCTTCATTTAAAATCTAGCCTAGACACTTCAAGCTGTTCGCTTTTCTTCACACTTCTAATTGGAAACATAAATATATATTTCCTTGGATTTTAAAGTTTCCAAAAAATCTGTCTGGGAGCCGTATTTCAAAGCCTGTGGAACCCCGAATCAAAGCTTAACATCACGGTAGTAAAGGATTGAGCCACAGAGGCTACTGGATGATCCGCGAGTGCATATTGGTTTAAAAAGTCGTTTTAGCAAATTTGAATAAAAATAATTAATCAAAGTAAATTAGACCCACCATAGTGAAGTTTAACAATGAACGGATGCTGAACATCTACCAGGATGTCTCTTTCTTTCTTCGTTCTCAGACGATCACGAACTAGAGCCGTAGGTAAAAAGACAAGAAAAAGAGCAGCGGCCATTGTTACCTTAAACCCCTTCAGAGAAAGGTCAACAAAATGCACTGAGCGATACTATATGGAACAACAAATTTGATAGCAAAAGAAAGGGTTTTCGCAAACCAATCCAAAAGGTAAATTAACAAGACAAGCAATTAGTTCTTCCAATACCAACTGCTTTGAGTATGAGCACAAAGGATAAGCGGTGAAATTCAAATTAAGTTTCACAATTATCTTTAATATCGAAGATTGTACATTTCACCTCCTCACGCAAGGATCGAATTCTCACATCGAGCAGCGTTAAAACCACGCTTCCGCAAAAACTGAAAATAAAATAAATTGAAAACAAAAATCCTAACCAGCGTAGCAAAAAAAATAGGGGAATATGCTCACCTTTAAGAGTTGCTTTCTTCAAAACTTTCATTGCATAAAGATTTCCCGCATCGGCGTCCGTCAACTTGCGCACTAAAAATACCTAAAACAATACATTTGATAGTTTGACGTCCCCATGAAGAACGTTCTACAAGAAGTTTGAACAATGATAAATGAGCTACAAACTAAAGAAGCATACACAAACATTGAAGTGGCGATAAATAAAGATTAATGCGTGAAATAGCCCGGCACAACGTAAGCAAAGGTCAAAAACATGGTTCCACTATGACGCCAAGAAGTACCTTTTCCAATTTAAGATTTATTCACCTTGCTCGGACAAGGATTAGTAAGACTAAAAGCGAACAAGAAGGACATTAAAACTTACCTTGCCAAAGGATCCCTGTCCGAGAACTTTCAGCAGTTCGAATTGCGAAGGGTCGGCTTTCTGGCATGCCTTCGAATTCACAAATTCTTCGGCAACATCGATAAGCGAAGATGTTTCCTCAAAAGGCTGTTGTAAATACAAAACAGTGGGCCTTGGTCTAGCATTTTTCGGACAAACAATAAGAGCTTAACATAATTTTACGCCAAAAGATTCGCTTACTCCATTTTTATTTTCATCAGTCATTTCTTCATCTGCAACCTAGGAGATTGTGAATATGTAGAGTTATCGAATGAGCTTCGACCCCAGAAATTGAAATTGAAACTCAGCACAAAGATCGCAAATTGTCATAAGATAAAATCACCTCCGTCTCTTCGTGTATTTTCATTTTCTGCCAAGGGTCGGCTAAATACGCCAAAGGCATGTTGAATTTCTCCACGTTCCCAACCCAATTCCTCTTCTTGACTACCGAAATGAGTCACTGTTCCAAAAACACGGTTTCCTTGAACAAGCTCGGCTATCAAAACGAGGCTAACTAAGCCACGCCAAACTATTTCATCCAAAACCGGAACCGGAAATACCACTAACGCAGCGAACTTTTGAGACAAAACATAATAATTTTTGCGCGTGTAATTTTACCGGTAGCAGTTGTTTATGGTTTAACCAGTAGATAAAACTGATGTACATAAGAAAGAATAGTGTCAACGGCGTGGTTTATAACGATCGACAAGAAATATTTAAATCGTTAATAAGTGGACTTAAGCATGATTATTTAACCAAGTAAATATCTCTGACATGAGATCTTTTACGCTAAACCGAAAAATTTACATAGATTTACGCTTTCTGTCCTAATGAAAGTAGTTTTCACTTTTAGGGGCAATACTTATAAATACTATGATCGAAACAAATAGCGTCCGCTTCAAATATACCATTACCTGCCTCTGATTAATAAATGGCATGGGCGAACGCTGAAGATAATTTTGACCACAGACATTTCAAGAACAGTAAATCTCTTGTAAAAATTATTTCAATGGGCGATTATCAGTTTTACATTTTAAATCGCTTCTTAACAGCTTTTTTTCTTTTCCAACAAATTGCCGTTTGAGAAATCAACCATCCGTTTTGTGTTCCAAATATACTCCGCTTAGCTCCGCCAAACATCTCACTTTATACCGGCAAGTCACGAAATCAAGTCAACCTTCCTTGCTGTAAATAAAGGAAATCATGCCGCGACCTCGGTCAATTTTGTCTCGATTCCCATTACGCTACTGTTTCGGTTTCTTCACGGAACATGTATTAGATTCAAGGCGAAATAGAAAATCTAACTACAACATAAAATCGCCCTGTTGTAAAACTTACAAGCTATGAAACGCCGTACTAATAAGTTGACTGAGAGGATGACAGTAAATCTTACCATGTTGACCATCTTCACGAGTTCAGAAGCGACTCATCCACGTTTGTCCCTTTTTACCACAAGTAAATATGACAAAATTCACGCTGTTGAAATACCGCTTTAAGCTTCTGTAATAAGAAGAGCAGTCCAATATCAGATCGTAACTCTCCGGCACGTAGATCGGGCGAATTTTTATGTTAGGCTATGAAGTAACAACAGTAAATTTGCATACAACTCCCCTCAACAGTTTCCGGAACTTTCCCTTGAGGCGATTACGTCATCGCTGATAAACCAGATGCTTTTAATAGAAGCTCAAAGCTGTGTTGTGGTTTCCGCGATTTAGAATTTATTAGTGAAAATACTCCAACCTTAGTAACATAATCACACGATTAACCGGTCATGAAAATTACTTGGAATAACTTACTGAACGAAAGGGTTAAGAATTCTCCCAAATCCATGTTCTATAAATAGTCTAGACAACTTGCACTTTTAAGGTACCAAGAAACTTCAGGCGTTACCTCTTAAGAGCGAAAGGAAATCGAAACGCATGTTTTATTTTTAAGGACAAATGTTTACAGATGTAGATAATACAGATGTGGAAACTAAAAAGGCAAATGAAGGTATTTGTTCAATAAACTGAGAAATGCCCCAAATTTAATACAAGTGAAAGAAATCTTGAGTCAAACTCACGTGATTTCGAGGCTATTTAAATGTGACAGACATGGTTAGCTTTACCAAAGCTCATTGAACAGTCACGCGGACACATGGCCACGTCACGAGAAATAACAGTAATACAAAATTAAGACCCACACCCACCACTTGATTCTATTACGAATTTTCCGAGCTAAAACTTTAAAAAAAAATAAGTGATCACTGGAATTAACTCGCAACGGGGGATCGCATTGCATAAGAAACAATAATTTTTTTGGCAGAAATCGCAGACATCGGACAAGTTGTTGGCAAATAAGCAGGTGATCCGCGACCTAAAATAAAATTCACTGAACACCTAGCGGCATTGATAAACATTTCAGATGCAGCTGTTCATTTGTAAATAGCTGGGAAGGAAGCCATTAAACTTATTATAAACAGATGACAGTCGCCATCCTGCCAGAAGGAAGAAGTGTAAGTTTGTCAGCTCACAATAAGTTTATGCGGTCAGCTGGGTGGCATTTCTAGCATTTTTTCCAAGATTAACCTTTCAATATTGGCAGTCACAGCTAAAAAAAAACTGACTTTAGAGAGCGTGCTTTTCCGACACTTCCGTTGTGTTCAGACAGTTCTGTAATGGCATGGCGATAATTTAACCCCAGTGCAACAAAAACCTCAAGTAATAACTTGCTATTGATCAAGATTTTACTAAATTTAAAAGAATAAATCACACATGCGATATAACAACTGTAGGTATGCTTTTCTGTATTTTAACTTCTAAAGGTTGTTATTGGGGCTTGAACTCAAGGGGGAACTCAGCAAATCGAAAACCGCGCCAGTGTTAACTTTCTGTTTCCTTCCTCCCTTCCTGCGAGAGCATTTATCATGAGATAAAAGTCGTATCTGTCATGTGGCCTTCGCATTAAAAAACTAGCAGCATTTGGCTTTCAATTTATGCTTTTTCAATAGCTGGATAAATCGTCCACAATCCTTTTCAAGAACTGAATCAATATATTTCGAAATTGATAACTATCATTCTCTGAGTGAGGTTCATTAGTCTGCGGTGAGCTAACCCGTCGAACTCACGCTAAGATTTAACTCAATAACTTCATACAATTCTTGTAATTTGTTATTCTTTCAGAAGCTCTCCTGACTTCATGGTGTCTTTTTTTTACATTCCCGACAAATTCTACTTCGGACCAACTGATCACCACCCCCCCCCCCCCTCCACCCGCTATTTCGCTACACTCTCCCACCCTCCTTTCCGCCCTAGCTTGATCCAAGAACCGTTATATTTCTCCATTATTTACTTACACTGCTGGAGTAAGTGTGTTATCAAAAATTCGAGATGGAAGCACTTCAATTTCACGAAACGCACAGATCCTCATGATCATTAGTCAGTCTCTCAAAATTCCCAACGGGGTAACTAAGTCGGCTTAGAATAATCTCATGAGATCGTGAGACGCTGTGGGCAGAGAAGAAACCACTAAGGACGGCCGCGGAGAGCATTCTCTAGAAGGAAGACACATTCACAAAAGCTGTTCACCCACTGCTTTGGAGTGCGACCCCGTGAAAGTGACACTACAATAACAGGTGTGGCTGTGCGTCCTGTAAATATTGCATTTTATTGAATCATTACATAACAAAGAAAATGTTTACAAAGCGTGTCACGCCATGCTGACGGGAAACGTGACCTCGACAGGAAGTGGGGCGACAGTGACGCTTGGAGGTCGCAAAACTAATCAGCTACGTGCTGGTAGTAGTGTAAGATGTATCTTGGAAGAACAAAGAAGCACCCAGATAGTTGCAAAGAGGATGAGAGTAAATATTTTCCCAATTTTTAGTTTCATTGGCTTTAAGTTGATGCAAAATTGCAGCGAATGATCAGTGAAAGCGGACCGTCGAAAATTCTAGAACTGCCCCACTTACCCCTCCCTGATCATTATACAACGAAATTACTCAAGGGAGACGAAGCGCAGCAAGTGATTAAGTGTGGGTTTTGATTTTGAATCCCGTGTAAGAGCTTTTTCGTAAAATGCCCGATTATTTGCATGTTCAAACATAATTCAAATTTCAAAGTTTAACCCTCCATAGCTAGTCTAGATTCTCGCTCCTCTTAAAAAAAACACACCTAACTCTCGAGAAAGTTTATTGATCATCAATTCAAATGATTACAATAAAGTAGAAATTGCACCTATACACTCCATCTTCATTTTGATGTAAAGAAGAAACGAGCACTTTTGAAGAGAAAAGTTCCATAAAATCAACAGACGCAGAGAGAGAAACTATTGATAACAGCTTGAAGGGAGGCAACAGAAAAAAAAAGCAACGTGGTTTGGCAAGTTTTCAGCAAATATATTTTCTTGGAGAAGAATCTTTTCCGGCAATTATTGTCTTGTTATTGATTTCGGTAAAAAGCCCCCTCTTCAAAGCAAAGTCCATCGGAAATAGTGGAAAACCGGCCCCTGTGCAAGATTAGCGACCACATGATTATTTGGTGTGAGAGAGCGCCAATATCAAGTGGTTTATTCCGCAACGTAATATCAAAAAGTAAACATCCTGGTCGTCAGTGAAGAACGCAAACTCCAGCAAGATGTGCCGAGTCAGATACCATGGGAGAGCAGTATTGTGTATTACAAAAGAAAATAATGGGAACTTATTTTCTTGTTACCTAATTATCGATAAATTGACTAGCCAATAAGTGCGCCTCTTGGGCCCCGCCCCCTCAAAAAGCGATCGGAGAGGGCTCTTTTTTAAAGGTCCTAATACAGATTCCTCACAAAGGTCCTTCGTGCGCTGAACCTAATTCTTGGTTGTCTTTTTAACCTAAAGTATTTGTTGTACAATTTGGGGAAACTGCTGAAGTTTTCTTCTTTCTGTTTTTATTGTTTATGCAGAGGAAATCAAGGCTGTCGGTAAGGTGTACTTATTAGCTATTCTAAAAGTAAAAAGAATAATCCTCTTTGTTATAAGTTATGTTCCATTTAGCCAAAGCAATTTCGTTTAACCACGTCAAATCCAAGTCAGTTGGTGGTTTTAACTAGAAGGAATTTTACCTCTACACTACGTGGTGTTGGCGTGACCCTTTCAAACGTTCAGGAAAAGTATTGCTTTTGGGGTTTAAGATTTTCATTCTCATGGAAATATCGGAAAGCGAAAACAGGACCTTGTTCTCGCTTTCCGTTGCAAATGATTTCTTAACGCCTTCACAGGAAGCACCCGGAATGAAGTCAAAGCATCACGTGCAAAAATATGCTCGGTAGGTTATGAAATGCGGACGGGTAAGTATTGGTTACGATGAATCGCACCTAATGTAAATTCCGGGTACAAATATAGCACAGGAGTTATTTCAAGGTATCCTTGTCAACACATTTATTTGTTTTTTCCTTTGTTTCGATTTGTTTAGCTTTTCGTTTTTTTGAGACACCTTACTTCAATTTTGGCTCAAGAATTTAATGTCTTAGAGAAAAAGTTGTGCTTGTCGCCGACACTTTTCAAGGGAAAATTGTGCTTACATGTTCACTCTTCACAGTTCCCTTGGCAACTGTCGTGATCAAGTCGATCAAGTGATATCGTTCTAGCCAAGTTTTACCTTAGAAAAATCTCCTCTAAAAAAATTTTAAGTCTTCCAAGCGACCGGTCATATTTTTCTCTCAAAAATGCCACGGAAAACTTGAGGTCAAGATAAAAATTGTCATGGAAAGCTTCCTCGTGCAACTGCGAACTATTTTTTTTTGTGACGAAGCGTGCATAATTTTGATTTCCTATGCGTGCGTGATTCTCCTGCAACACGTTGAAAACAGTTGGACGGGCAGAAATCCATTTCGGGAAAAAAAAACTACTGGTTGAAGGGAATTGATCACAATTAGGAAGATTTCATTTATTTCCGGTCAAAGATTATTCGCGGTGAAGAAGGACACTTGGAAATATAGATATCGTGTTATCTTATATAACATTACTGTACAAAATTTGTTATTGAGACCATTTCGTGAATTTTTCTAACCACTCCCGTTCTTCCCAAATTTGAAAACAGACGTCAGTAAGGTTTGGTTTGTTTTCTGTGTTGTCTGACGCTTAACATTTAAGTGACGTCACGATAAGTCGATCTTCCGTTGAAGAGTGACATTCATCACGTCAGCATACAAACACAAAGATTCTCACGCATAAGTGATAGGTTTTTTTTGTCCGACCGTGTTGCTTTTCTTTTAAATTCCGATAATTTTACAGAGAAGTACGGAAGTAAATAAGCTTGTAGGAAATTAGCCACTCTACTTTCAAACTTTTACATCGAATTAACGGTGGTGTACTTGCTTAGAGCTTGGCATGTATAAATTTCACCGATTATCTTAACATTTCACAAATTTTTTCGGCTGGTGTAGATTGATCTTTACCCATAAAAGATTAATGATGTCTATGAACGATTTTTGCTTTGTAATTCACGAACATCTCAATGTTTAGACGTTGTCACGGACCCGTGAGTTCACCTGATATTAAATCAAGTGTCAAGTCTTGGAACAAGTCCTTAAAGAACTTCAATCAGGGAATTACTGGTGTGTTACTGTATTATTTTTCGCATTTAATAGATCGTATCGACCCTTCCCTACGTAATCTGCGGTTTTAAATAAACTAACAAGTTCCTTCAAGACTAACATCATCTACCGATAGACGAAGATGTCAAAAGCTTATGCATAACCCTTTAACACCCAAGATCTCATAAATAATACTCCTTACTATCTGCCATACAATTCTTGTGATGTTAGCTGGGAGGATTTGATATTGGATCAACTTTTAATCCCCTAATTGATATATTTTTTTTATTCCCATCACTTGTCTGCTTGAGATTGTATTAATATTGTGAGGAGAAATTCTGTCTTGGTCACTTATGGGAGTTAAAGGGTTAACACTAGAAGGACAATATAAAATTGAGAACATGTTTTTCATATTTTTGGTGACATATTTCATTAAGTCTGATTGACATGAACAGACTTCAACAAAGGAAGTTCTCTGGGAAATTAACGCATGACGTCATTCAAGCGTCATTCAGTGCAGGTGAAACGGAAATTGTTGAAACTTCCCTCCTTATTTTATCTAATTTGGGACCAAAAAAACGTGCTCCTTCAGAATCAAAGATCTTTTAAAAAATGGCAATGTCAGCTATTCCAGTGGAATACTATTTCAGCCCAAAGTGGGTCTGAAGGGCAATCAGATTTGGATCAACAGCTTGATCCTAGTGCAGAGTGTTATTCAGTGTTGGTTAACGCAAAATCAGGCGGATGAGTTTGTTTATCGATCTTGGTCGGTGCTAAATCAGAAATAGATAAATTTTTTCCAGACATAAAATCCTGCTTAAAAAGGCGTCGAGGCAGTTTTGACTCAACGTTTTGATGTTGTCCTAGGACAAAAAGAACACCAATATGTCTCATTTCCAACCAATTTTGGCATTGGTTAATAATCAACACGGGCTCATCTTAATTCCCTGGTGTTGTTAAAAGCATATTTCCGGTGTGATGCAAGCATATTGCTACTGTCGTTATGAAAGTTTGTCATTCCGACTTACTCAGGCTGACCATGTAAGCATTCAGCACAAAAGCTGTTTCTCTTTCATTTGGGTGGGCAGTCTAAAAATACCCCCTTGGCATTTTATTACGCTACTCAGCACTGAAAACCACAATCATCACAGGTTCTTCCCACTTAATACTCCGACGTATGCGCGCGTGGGTTTGTTTACTTAAATAAAACGATACCATCCTGGCAACATTGTAAACAAATATTGTTATGCCACAACCCTAAAAAAAGTCCTTTCAGCAGCGTGAAGACTTCTGTCACTAATTCCATGATACTAACAATAGTATAATACATCAGACTTCATCACAGGATAACAGACGCAGAACTGAGCAAAGAAAGAGGGAGGAAGAGGGTCTAACATTTTTGATCATCGCGAATTACAGAGTACATCATAGCAAAAAGGGCATAAACCTGAGCTAAGAGAGAGGGTTGAGGGTGGAACGGGTTAGAATAATTTTGATAATCGTGGATTATACGTATAAGTTATTTTGATAAGTGCAAGTGTGTAGCCTATATTTCGACGTCAACATCCGGGACATCGGCCATGTGCTTTGTCGAAAAAGAACTATTCGCCGTATTCGTACTGGCATTTTTTGCCAACCAATATTTTTGAGTTATGTCACTCTAAACTCGAAACAGTCAGTAAGTTATTGCAATTTCGCTCGCTAAAGGTCTAATTTCTGTACGTAGAAAACCTGCCTTATTGCCTGACTGGATGTTTACTCAGCTTGATTACTGGAACACTCACTCGGTCGATGTTTCTAACAATTTCTCAGACAACTTTATATTTTCTCTCTCCTTTATTTTCATTTAACATTAGCACAGCTTTCATTCTCATTCATTTTAAAATTCTCCACATTCCTCGAGAGACGGGTTTTTCTTACAGGCGATATAAGCTTTTATGTGTTCATCCAAGTATCTCAACGGTATCTCCCCCTGACGTAATACCTCGTAATGAAAATCCTTCAGATCGAAATCTTGACCCAGCTCCCTCTCGGCTAAACTCCTGAGGCGAGAGATTTCCAGTTGACCAGACACGTAGCTGGCTACCTGTCCCGGCAAACCTTCTGACCTTATGATATCTTTCTTTGCCTGGTCCGTGTTGTCCTCCCAGACATACTGTTTGTACATACGGAGGGCATCGAATGCTGACTTCTGATAATAGTTTAGGTCAATGTCTACAACAGCGCGCAGAGCGGCTAAGAGCTATGCAATAAAACAACAAAGTATTTTATTAATAACAAGTAAAAATTGTAGCGACCTAACGAGACTTTGCCAATCATTCGGTGCAGAGAGGTGTAGAATCACTAACATTTTAATTGGAAGCTATCGTAAACGACAAATAAAATGATGATCCAAGTGTTATTCCGTTAGCTAACCTGTTCCGGGCTTTCAGTTAGTAAAACGAAGTGTAACAATAAACGGTGCGATAGTAGGATCCAGTAGCGAAGGAGTGAAAAAAAGATGGAGGTCTGGGTCGGGTCTCCCGAACCCCCCCTTTCTTCACTCTGTCGCTGTTTTCTATTCAGCTCCGTTTTACTGGCTGCAAGCTTGGAATAGGCTATACGTTGGCTTGTGTGGTCGATCTTATGCATATGTCTGTGTCCGAATGACAATCCCATTGGTCTTTCCTTCTGACAATTTACTTCAGCCTTAATGCGAATCTAGAAAAAAAGCTAACAGGTACCTCGCCTTTCTCGTCCCTCGTGTACTTACAAGAAATATCAACGATTGATCTGAGCGTTTACACATATTATTTGCCTTTACAAAATGACATCGATTTTTGCAGCACCTCGCTTTACAGCCTCTTGTTTCGTTTGCACATAATTACCTGGTAGTAGATCATGCCGTATTTCTGTAGCAACACCTCCTTGTTGGAAGTGTCTGAATAAAGGTTCGTGTCTTGAGGCAGCAGTTGGTACTCAGTGTAAGTCGTCCAGCCTTCGGTAAACCCTGGAAAATAATTGTAGGCTCCCAACCAGTGAATGGGATCTTTGCAACTGTCCTGAAAATATTCCGTGTAACTCTGAACCTGCAAAGGTAAATAGTGTAACATTAGCGCGGGCTCATATTCCCGAACAGCGGCTAGCAATCGAGCTGCGCTTAACTTTCTTTTACTAACCAATTGGTCTGATGACCGAAGTTTACTTCGCATCATTACAAGTAAGAGTAAGCCACCTTAATTAGTGCAACTATCAAAGTTCCCTTGTTGTGTAAACCCGTGAAGCGTCTTTCTAGCCATATATAGTCACAGTATAAAGGCCTCAGAAAGCGGAAACAGCTGAACATGAGTTTTCAATTCGAGAATCACATTTCTCTCCTCTGTCTTCTAATTTCACCAGCACTGGTGTTTCGATGCTTCTTGAGATTTGCCTAACTATTCACCAAACAAAGTTAAACATAACACCGTCAAGATTCAACGAAAGTCACTAACCTCCAAATGATGCCCGGGCATTTGCTCATGAGCTGTGGTGGTATATTCCGTCCATTTTGGGCCAAATCGGTCCATGAAAAACGGTAGCGCCTGGCTTCCTTTATATGAGCAGTCCTTTGCTCCTATACCGTAAGAATGATAACTAGCATAAGGCTGGAACGATGCATAAAGGTCTACCCCACAAACAGGAATGGTTTTCTTAGGCCCACTGCTGTGAAAGTTGGCTGCGAGGACTGGTGTGATGTGGTTCGTCATGGTCTGCAATATAAAGGCAGTTACAGGTCTAGAGCATATCCTATACCCCATTCACACCAGCAAAACATGTTTTGTTAAACTGGTTTTCATTGAATGAAAATTATAAACAGAGAACTGAAAAACTTGATTTTCCATTGGATTCAAGTACTTGCTAACTTGCATTTCAAATGTGCTACATTCAAGTCAAAAATAGTTAAATAGTCTATGAAGCTGTGTTTAACAAAACAACTTTTAAACATGTTTAAGCTTTGGTGTGAATGGGGCACTAGAATCTATTCCAGGCCCTGGTTGTTCGAAGGTCAGATAACGCTATCCACAGCCATGATAAATCTCTATCCGGCGGATGACGCTACACGTTTTGCCATCACTTATCCGCTGGATAGCGATTTATCCGTTGGATATATAGCATTATCCTTCCTTTATACAACTGGGCCCAGGTCATTTATGGTTACTTAAGCTAAGTGGCCACGACTTTTTGATGAGCCATGTTGCCCATTCACGCTTTGTTGTGGTGATCACATTTCGATTAGCCTGCTCGCACGAACCCTACACGAGCGTAGGACAGTAGCATTCCTTGTTTAACAGATTTCTTTCCGAAATATGAATAATGATCAGGTAATTCTTAGGATTCAAGTTTGAAATTTTAGCTTTTTACCCTTGACACAGTTGGAGAAAGGCGCAAGTCAAAAAATCTCATAGCGAAAAAACTGGCCTCGTGAACCAAAAGTGGATAAATTTGTTCCAACGGATGTACTGGTCTATACCGAGTTAGAAAGATAAGATATTTTCTAGCCAGGGAGGAGTTTATTGGTTTCTCATTACGTACGTCTTTGGTGTTCTCCATCCATTTTTGCATAGCTTCCCAGCGCTTGGGGCAGAATTCCTCCGCACTTTCTGAGTCACTACACTTTATAAAAGCATCGTCGTCGCTCTCGCTGGTAGGAAAAGTCCTACTGTTAAACCACATGTTAGAATTTCCGAGAATTTCTTTGAACTTATCGACAGCGACGTGCTCTTGCTGTTCTTCAGTATACAGCTTGGCCACATCAACAGCCTGTGGAAATTAAAAAAGTGTTTTTTTATTATCGTATGCAACATGTCATGATGCTTGCTACTGATTGATGGTAACCTTCTACATGATAAAATCATTCATCAATTCACTCGACATAGCAACTCGGACGCGGCTCAGTGAGTCCATCAGTCGGTCGGTCAGTCAGTCAGGCAGTCAGATGGTTTCTCAGTCGGTCAGTTAGTCAGTCAGTCAGTCAGCCAACCAGTCAGTCAGCCAGCCAATCATTTCTTCAGCCAACCAGTCAGTCAGTCAGTCAGTCAGCCAACCAGTCAGTCAGTCAGTCAGTCAACCAACCAGTCAGTCAGTCAGTCAGTCAGTCAGCCAACCAGTCAGTCAGTCAGTCAGTCAGTCAGTCAGCCAGCCAACCAGTCAGTCAGTCAGTCAACCAACCAGTCAGTCAGTCAATCAGTCAGTCAGTCAGTCAGTCAGTCAGCCAACCAGTCAGTCAGTCAGTCGGCCAACCAGTCAGTCAGTCAGATATTCAGTCAGCAAATCAGTCAGCCATGCCTGCAGTTAGTCATGCAGCCAACCGCTCAATCAGTCAGTCAGTCAGTCCATCAGTCAGACAGTCAGGTAGTTTGTCAGTCACTCTCTCACTCAGTCAGACAGTCGGTCCAGCCATCAGATGATCAGATAGTTTGCCAGTCAGTCAGTCCGTCAGACAGTTAGATAGTTTGTTAGTCAGTTTGTCAGTCCATTAGTCAGTCAGTCTGATAATCTGTCAGTAAGTCAGTCAGTGAGCCAAACAGTCGGTCAGTCAGACAATCAGTCCGTCCTACCTATAGTCAGTCGTTTAGTCGATCGCTCAATTGCTCAGTCAGGGGATAAACTTTAAAAGAAGAAAACTCATTCAAAAGTGCTATTCTGAAAATAGCATTACCCATTCTTTTGATACTATTCTTTAAAAATCATTGATTTTCGTTCCTCTAACCTGTGTATACATCTCGTTTAGCCTTCTGAAAGCTTTTTCCCTGAGGCTGCTTGGTGTAATCTCCCTTGATGTGAAGAACCTCATGATCTTCTTATATGTCTCTGGACCACTCAGTGTCTCCCCGGTGGGGAGTTTAGGAAGAGTCTTCTGGTTCCTATTGTGTTCGAGCGGAAGCTTTCCAAGGCCACTCAAGAGATGCTCCTGATTAGGGCAGTTGCACAAGTACTCATCTTCAAGATATCTATCGAGTAAAATTTTCAGCATAGCAATATTATCAGCATTACCTTACCTAAGATATCTGTAACTACGCGCCTCTTGTAGAAATCAGCTTCGTTGATGGGGCAAGCGTGTTTTAAAGTGCTTTTTAATTAACTTATTTTAAGGCCTTCCAGGCTACGAGCTCCCTACATTTTAATGAAGACCATTCGACAACCAACACCGAAGTTTGTCATTCAAGCCAAAGTCTCAACAGCGCAACAAAAATGGAATGCACATCACTCTGGTCTCTTGTAAAGATTCTTTCTGTTTTCCGAAGAAATGAAATGAAGTCACAAAAATATTCTGACTCTTCGGATATACCACTTCGAACATTTTTTTTTTTTTTGAAAATGGCTTTCAAGCAAAGAAAAGATCTCCATAAGGGCTCAAATTAAAAAAAAAAATCAATAAAAAATTCGGGCCTAGGCGGGATTCGAACCCGCGCCTGCCAACTGGGCAATGAAGCCACATGTTAGAATCATGAAAGGGTTTTTCTTTGCCGTAAAGGAATCTGTATGGCTTTGTAGCTCAGTTGTAGAAGTTCCCCAGCTAGTACCTGGGAAGTACGGGCTCAAATCCCGTCGGAACCTGAATTTTTTTTCAGGCCTCTTTTCTGTCAGTTGCTTAAATTGCGGCTCATATTTTCGCTTGGTTTTTAAGAAATTTCAGAAATTTATTTCATGAAAAAACCATGAGAATGGATTAGTTATAAATTGTCTCCAATATGTAAAAAGCGTAAAAACATGTAGTCAGGTACCTTAGCATTCTCACAACGGGCTTTGCGATGTTGTTTTCAAGAGACTGTTTGAAAAACTCCTTGACATTCTCTTGGTGTTTCTCCTCCCAAGTATCGTTCACAGACTTGGAGAGGCTGGCGAAGAAGCCAGAATTTAAAAGAGTGTTGGCAAACGGTTGCTTGTATATTCCTTTCAGAGGAGAAAAATGTAAAGAAGATTGATCAGTATGAAGTGCAACAACCAGAATTCTTGACGGATGATAACTTTTAGAGGGATTCAGTTCTCTAGCTAAGAATCGATTATGCAATCAAGAACTTTGTCAATGACTGTGGGTTTGTGGGAAAAGAAAATCTTAACGACTTGCTCGTTAGTCAGCTCAACAGTACCTGTAACGAGTCTATATGAAACGAGAGGCACATTACTTAGCTGGGGTGGCGGCGCAAAGAACACAAAGTCAAAGTAGTAGTTTCTTATGAGCCAATATTTTTTCTAGTTTGTTTATAACATTGGTAATTTCGAAAAAGATCTAGCGCTGGCATTATAAGGAAATGGTTTGCTTTTCTTATAAAAGATAATCATGAAGTGACTTTTCACTAACCTGATTCACCATTTATCGCCATTTCTCTATATTTCTTGTATTTCACAGCGAATACGGCCGCTTTACAAGCTTTAAAAGGTCTCAGATACCCTGAAAGCGCTCCAAGTTTCCAGTTCTCCACGTATCTTTCAAATACCTGATAGTACTGCTCGAAAAGGGTCTTCAGTCTCTCTAACTTGTCCATATTGTCCGGTTTAAAGTGAGAAAAAACACTGTTCAAATTTCCGAACACCTGACAAACAGGTTGCCAGCAAAATAAGTTCGGTCCCAAAAGCCAATCACCAGAGTAATAATTCATGCCGTACGGATCCCATCCCTGGGCTAACAGAACATCACTAGCCACATGAATGGCTTTACGCTCTCTCAGCTTTAACTTCTTTGTGTCGATTTGCAAAGTGTTGAGTCTCCGACGTAGTTCTAAGGCCTTGTCGGTTCTGCGTTTAATGGCATCCGGACTTGGATCGAAGGGTTGGAAATGCTCTCTGATTAGTTCGGGTGTTGCCTCAGCCATCCTGGCAATATGCTCTGGGTGAAGCTGATAGAAAAAGGTTTGTTGTATCTCGGCTAACAATTCTGTGAGTTGGGAGCGCGTGGCCTCAGCTGATGACTGACATAAGGACGCGTCTGA